GTGTACCTTGTTCTCGATGTTCATTTAAAAGGAATAAAAGAGAATTATATATAAATGTAAATAAATTGTCCGAAGAGAGAAAAAATTGAGGGATTATTTTTAGTTTTTTTAGTAAAGGTTGGAAATGTCTATTCATGATAGAAATGCAAAGAAAGAAAATTATTATGTTTAAAATAATAATTTCATATGAAATACAAAATTAAAAGTTACATTATAGAACTTTACTTTCTGAAAGCGTAATAAAACAATCAAATAGTAGACAGAGAAAAGACTAATTGTAAAAGAAAAAAGTTGTTAACTTAACTAAACCATTTAACTAAATTTATTATTTTAACTGGAATTTTAACTATTATAAATTAACATGACATTTATTTAACTTAAATATTTCAATATTTTAATTTAAAAAATAATAATTTAGTTAAACGGTTTAGTTGAGTTAACAAAAACTTTTTTTTCTCAATGTACGTGTGTGTGTGTGAGAGACTTTAAAAATATACTTGGATATAAATACACTTATATTATTAAACGATTAATACATCTCGTTGAGGTTTAATAAATAATTAAACTGTGTATACTGAGAAAAAAAGTTGTTAACTTAACTAAGCCATTTAACTAAATTATTATCTTTTTAATTGGAATATTTAACTATTATAAATCTAACATAACATTTATTTAACTTAAATATTTCGATATTTCAATTAAAAAAAAAATAATTTAGTTAAACGGTTTAATCGAGTTAACAACTTTTTTTCTCAGTGTACGTGAGTGTGTGTGTGTGTGTGTGTGTGTGTGTGTGTGTGTGTGTGTGTGTGTGTGTGTGTGTGTGTGTGTGACTTTAAAAATATACTTGTATATAAATACAATTCTCACATACGTCACAGTACGCGTTAAATATTTCGGCAGCGAGCTAACACGTCATTCGATCTTGTGACGTCATTTGGCCTTGTGACGTAGCGCGCTATTGTTTACATACGCGACGACCTCCCCTCATTCGCACGGCGACATTCCAACGGGAGAAAGTAGCGATACGGACCGCTCCGTATTATCGAATTCTTTTCCTAAAGGTACGATCGCGATTAGATCGAAATATAATAATTCGACTATTACAAATGACAAATAATTAACTCTTATAATAAATGCAATTGTGGCGACGATAAATTCATCGAAACGCGATCTTTCATTATTGCAAATAAAAATTGAAGCGAAAGGGGCAAAAATTACAAATTTTCTCGCAATATTCTCCGATTATCGAACTTTACGAATAATAATTATTTCTTTAACATTGCGTAGAATGAAATTCGATTTCGCCCGATGTTTTAAACTTTCCTAAACTGCATGCATATATATCATATTAATTAAACGATTGCTGTATCATCAATTTACATTACTTTAATATTTTAATCTTATGATTCGCGTTATTATGCATATATTATACATCAACAAATAGAAATAGTTAATTAGTGTAAGAATCGAATGATACATGATTTTGGCTTCGTTTAAAAATCGAGCGAATTATTGTAATTTTTGTGTTCCTCTCTTGCAATAATAATAAAATAATAATAATATTATAAAAATACGTATCTCGTATGATTATTTTGCGATCGGGAGTGCCGTGCAAAGTGTCTCGCGATCGTTTCTGTATATGACTGAAATATAATTAACTGAAATATAATTGTTTGTTCGCGAGTGAATACGTGACTGCTACGAGGAAACAACAAAGGATGAAACAACAAAAGAAAAGGACATCTGGAAATGTAACGGACAGTAAGAAAGCAAGGAAAGAGCCTGAAGCAGCCAGAGACATGCGGTGAGTAATTTATAAAAATTATTTATTATTTATTATTTATATACACTATTTTTAAAATAGATATATATTGCTTATTATTTTATTATTGTTTTATTTTTCGATCATTTAAATATATAATTCGGATGGAAATGCAGTAAAACAATCGAATCGTAGATCTAATTAACTTAACAAAAAGATCCATAAAAGATATATTAGTTCTTTTAATAAATAATATCGTATACTTAATCTATATAAAAATGAAATATTATCTATTTATTTCTAAATATTAAATACTATAAATTTAATAGTTATATATTTTGTAAAATTTAATTAAAAGAATCTTTAAGATATTCCAAAAGAAACGAAGAACTTTTCTCAACGTAGAAAAAGTTAATTATAAACAAATTTATATTTAATTATTATAATTAATTTGTATTTAATTTTATTGGAATTTTATTATTAATTTTATTGCATTGTCAAACTCTACGCGATCTCTGTAATGATAGCTATTCACGAAATAGGTACAGTGAAATAATCAATTATTATCGAAAAGAGGCAATAATATACTTTTAAATCTAATTTAAACTTTTGATAAACGATATAAAATTTTTTTATTATGATGAGAAATCTTTATTAAAAATCATAATTGCAAATAAAAATGAAAATAACTTCACGAAGTATATTAATCGTTTAATAAATAATTAATCCGTGTGTACGTTTACGTGTGTGTGTGTGTGTGTGTGTGTGTGTGTGTGTGTGACTTTAAAGATATACTTGTATATAAATACACTTGTATATAACTTTAAAAATATATATTTCCATTATGTTAATTATCCGATTTTTATTCGATCGTTTTATTGCGCGTTCTGAATCAAATTATATTTAGATCAAATGATATCAGAGAGAATATTTATTTATTATATTAGAATTCTAAATGTGTGTGTGTTTGTGTGTGTACACATATATATTAGGATAGAAACGAAATAGAAAAGAAGAATAATCATTGCTCGTAAAGATTGCAACAAAGTAATAATTTATAATTTTGATTCGTATCGTATAATCGAGTATCGTATTTCGAGAGCAATCAATTATTTATTAATAATAAAATTGTATATAACTTACGAATATATTCCACTTATTCCGGACGTTAATATCGCGACAACGACGAATAAACTTTTCAAAAAAGTTCAATTCAACTATTTCATATATGAGACAGTTCTACCAATCACTGATACAAAAAACTCGTCAATTGACCAGTTGGTGAAACTGTTTCAGTTCTGAGTATTTTCTTAAAAGAGCTGTTGGCGCACATACATGCGTGTATTATGTTTACGCGCGTCACGCGTTTGAACGAACCTTGACGCGTTCGAACGAACCTTGATTCTCGCGGGTAAAGTCACTAGATTAACAAAATACCGCAATTTTGATCTCAATAAGATAAGATGGAGCAAAAATGGCGTTCGATAGTATAGATATAGGCTGCGATTGTTTCTCCACGTAACAACCTGGCATTTTTGATATTTTCTTCTTTTTCTGCGCAACAGATTTTACCGAAACAAATTTCCACGTTAGCCAATCAGAAATTCGCAACAAAGATAAATTCCCTTACGATATAACTGTTTCTTTCTTAAAGTTGGCACATTGCGCATATTTTACTAACTAGAATATTACATAACCAACAAAAATCAAATAATGTTAGAGTCAAAAATGTCAAAAAATTTTATTATGGAAATTAAAAATATTTTGACGATTATAATGAAAAATTATTAATATTTAAATATTATATTAAATATTTAACATTCAATATAATATGTGAAAATTATTCCAATGTCAAACTTTTTAAATTAAATTCCTTTTATATGTAATTTATATATAAAACATCCATAAAATCACATATTCACTTTCGTATTATAATAAACAATGTATTTATATATTCTATGTACATATTCATATAAGTAATAAGATTTCAAGTATCAAGCTATATCATATTACTATAAAAATATAAATATTTTTAACATTTTTGTATTGTACATTACAACAGTTTCCATAGTATAAGTATAAATAAATTCCAGAAAAAATATTTATATATACGATACAGTATATTCACTTTTATTTTCAAAATATACTTAAGTTTTAAAATGTGCACAGGATAGATAAATATCTAAATCACAATAAAAGCATTAAGTACAACTAAACAAATTGCAAAACACATAAACATATATTCATAGATAACAACGTCATAAATATACTTAAAAACTTTACATGCAGATTTTAATATTTTTTTGTAACAATTAATATTATCAATTTTTTCAATATATATTCAATATATGAATATAACTTGCTAGTTTCAATACAATATTCTTACAACAAAAATATATATATCCAAATTAATTTGACAATATAAATTTGGCAATTGTATTGTTGTTGTGATTAAAATAATGCCATTGATAAACCAATATGAGCGAGCTTAATATCATTTTCAACATGAATCAAACACAGTATTGGCTTATACATATTATCTAAAATCTAGAAGAAATATATTATGAAAAAAAGAAGAAAAAAGATTTTTTTTAAATTTATTGTCTATAATATTATTTTGCATTTGGCTTGCATTGGTTTTTAGTTAGCATTACTTTGATCTCTCTTTTTATCACATTCAAAACAATTATGGTGATATTACATTGAAGAAATGTAATAAATATAATATAATAAATTGTCAAACAGATTTATAAGTCATATATAAGCATAAAAATATATAACAATAAAAATATATAACATTTACATACTTTGTATAATTTGTGCGAAGAAATAAATTACAGAGCAAAAATTCTTAGTTTGTTTAAATCACAGAATATGTACAAATAAAATTTAAAACATCTTTATTTTAACAAGTTGATAACTATCCTGAATGTAAATCTGAATAATATTTATATTAATGTATTTTTTTTTAGTTTTTATATATACATAAATATCCATAAAATGTAGAAATGTTTTGTGTTGTGCCAAATATTTTAATTTGTTTTCTAATTTTTAATTTTGTTATTCATCATAGATATACATGGAATTTCAAAAGCGCACAACATCTCTTCCATACATTCTAAACCAATCTCAAATAATTTTTGGAAGCAAAAATCAAAATTAAAATATATTTCCTTAAATATATATGCTACATAGTAATAATTAAATATTTCTATTAATTTTGCATTCTTTGAATTGTACTGTTGTTATAAATATTTACATGTTATAATTAAGAATATATATTACTGTATTATTACTGTTTAAAAAATATAGTCCTGTCAAAAAGAAAAAAATTTTTATTATTATAATTGTTATTATTATTATTAAATTATTACGTATATGATAGAATTACTTTATATATACACTATTTTTTCTATTTCTAATATTTGAAATTTTTATTCAATTTTGATAAGTTAAATATATGTTCTTCAATTTTTATTCTCTTAAACATTTTTTTAGTATGGAAAAATAAGTTAAGAATTATTTTTAAAAATGACATTTTTAAAATGTAAAATGCAAAATCGAAATGTATAATTACAAATTTATTAAGTACTACACAAAAATTTAGCCTAAAATATTATTTTACATATTTTATAGTTCTGACAATTACTCGTTCAATCAAATATACTGAATTAATTTATTGAAATAGTGTATTTTCTTGTGTAAGTTCTATATTTCCATAAACTTACATGTTAAGTTTTAAATCCAATACCATCTGTAAGAGACATAATAGCATGTTCCTGAGTTATTGCTGCGAGTTCTTTAAGCCACTCATCTAATATAACAGCACATAGAACAACATTCTGCACTGGACTCACTTCATTTGGTGATTCCCATGAAGTCTTCATATATCTAAAAAAAATTGAAGTTTTAATCAATATTCCTTTAAATGAAGTAAAAATCGGAATATTTTTTATGTATGTCATAATAATTAAAAATAACTGAAAAATAATTAAAAATAATTAAAAAATTGCGAATAAAAATTCAGAATAAAAAAAATTGTTTAAATTAGTTAATATATTTTTCGCTTATGTATCATCAAAAAATTTTATAAAAAATTTTATAAATACATTGCATACTTTTATCAATTGTTAGCGATCTTATTATATGTTTAATAATTTTTAAATGTTAAAAAAGTTTATTTAAAAATTTACTTAAATTTATTTAAATTTATTTTAACTTTAGATTTATAATATAATTTCACAATATGCACACAAATACATTACAAAAAAAATTATGAAGGTTTTTATAATACATCATTCTCTTCTGAAAAATGACTTATTTTTATTTCATACTTTGATGTGACAATTGAAGTAATAATAATATTAAAGTAATAATAATATTAAATATTTAACATAAAAAATCGCAATGTACTTAATATTTCATTGATGACTCTCTTATTAATTTTCTTTTTATTAATAAACAAATGTATAACTCAATATACACATGTTTCACATTTTTAGCAAAAATAAACTTTATGTTAGTCAATTAAAAATTACAACTATCTATATTATTCTACAATATAAAAAGTTTTTTGAATATTTTTATAAATTTATCCTAATTGTAATGCATAGAAAACTCATTTTTTTCTTCTGTTATATAGAGTTATATTTAGTTATAATAAGAAAGAATAATTTACCTATATCCAGAGCCAACCATTTGTAACTGATCTTCCGATATATTGGACGGCTGACTAATAGAATTTGTTAAGCTGCTTATACCTAAGCTATTACTCGATCGTTTGAACATTTGTGTAAATGATAATGTTAAGCTTCTTCTTTTCGGTTCCCCTGAAAAAATACAATTGATATAGTATTTCAAAATTATATATACATTATATCAATTATATATAAAAATATATTGCATTAATATACATACGTTTTTTAAATACTTTTCCGCATGCACGGCACAAAATTTTAAAAGATTTAATTAATATAGCTAAAGTTAGACAGAAAAAAAGGAAGGAAGAAGTAGGAGGCAGAAAAAGGAACCAAAAGAGGAAAGAAGAATCAAGGCTTCTGCAGTCATATTGAATTGATGAATCATATGAATTCTTTTTCTTTTTACAAGATATATCCAAATAAATAATTTTTTATATGTGATCACTCGTTTTCAATAATATGCTTTAAAAAAATACATTATTTTTGTATTAATAAACTGTACAATTCATTTGTCCTATATTTTCAACAAAAATAGATCTTATAATAATTTTGACTGAGATTTACATTAATTGACAAATCAAAAAGAATTTTTGGTATATCTTACTAATCCATAGTATTTTATTAATCCATTACTATCCATATTCGAACACGAATGATTGCATTCAAAAAAATTAATTTCACAAAAAAAAAAAACTCATATGATATCATATAATTATCATATAATACTCAAGGTTAAGGAGTTTTAAAAATTAAACATAAATTTAAATCATAATAGAGAGAGGAAAATATATATACCTAATTTTTAAATTTATTATTCTCTATTATTCACTATTCACAAATAGATAATACCTCTTGAAAATGATTCACCAGTTAGAGAATGCTTTTTAACAAATGAAGATTGAGCAGCAGCTTCTAATGCATTTTTTCTTGCATTTACTAGCTTGTCTTCTCGACTTATCAAAAATAATCTTGCTTGTTCAACTAATAAATCAACATTACTGTATTTCGAGAGAAATTGATCTATTTTGTGTTTTAATGATGCAAGCACCTGTAATATAATAATGATAATTATGCAGATGTTATCTTAATTTAATTACAATGCAATTAATAATAAATATCTAGATAATCAAAATGTTCTTTCGAGAAAAATACAATTATTTGCAGCACTATTGTTTGAAACTGCAATCGATAAATACCTGAAATAAAGATCTGATGCTAGGTTGAAACACAAGAGAATGATTCAGCAGAAAGGATTGCAATAAAGGTTGCGAATATATCGCCAGTCTACTAATAAGACCTGTGAGATGTAAATTGACATACAAGTTATTGCTAGTCATACATTCAAGCTTTCGTAAGACTACATCTAAAAATATGCCAACGTTTGGCTGTCCATTAAATATATCTTGCCGGCACGAAATATTATTCTTATTTGATTTACTCAATGACGTTTTTTCAGTTGTCAAAGAATCTGATTTTGTAACATTAGGTCCAGCGATATCATTAGTCTCCTTTTTAATTATGATATGCATTTCTTCGTGTTCATTCATTTGATTTTCATTCGTCTCATTATCCGGCGTTGACTCCGGCGATCCTTTAAATGCAAAACTTTCGTAACCGCTACTCTCTCCTAATGACATGAGCGAATTCATTGTTGCAGCTGAATCATCTATACAGCTATCAGACTCCTTTTTATCTAAACAAGTTTCTTCCACATAGTTTGTCACTCCAATATCTTCATTTAATAATTCCGCAATATCAGCATCCAATTGTATCTGTTCATCAAGAGACAATACGGTATCTGTAGTCAATTCATTTTTAATATTATGTTCATTGCTATTTAAATCTTTCCCTTCTAATAAACACTGAAAATTAAATAATACATTGTCTATTAACCCGCTCTCGTCATTTTCGCACGAACTCATTACATTCTTCATTGTTTTTTCCAGCGGTAATATTCTAGATTCTTCTGTTTTCTTCTGTGATTGATTAGATGTAACACTTTCATTTGACAATGTAGTTACGTTGTTAGTATTATTACTTTCTGATAAGTCACCATCGTATCGAGAAGACCAGTTAGAACACGCAATACGGCAAGCTTTTATTTTTTGTCTGGCATCACAAAGATATGCATGATAATTTCCATATAAACTATCTGATAATTTCGTGCCATAATTTATTGATGTCGGTAGCGATTTCATTGGGTCAATTGCGATATATCCATATTTTTCATTCGAACATGATGTAGTGCTAGGTAAAGAATTTGTTTGAGAATCTAATGATGTAAATACAGTAGTGCAGCAATATGGAGTTAAAGATAAAAATTTTTCCGCAGCACGTCCAAAAGGATCTATATCTCTCAGTCGACTACGTTGGGAGAGCATTATATGCGAACACGGACTTAATGCACTCAAACATAATTCTAACATGATATCTTCGCAGTTTAAATTGACCAGAGTTTCGAACAATGCCAGAGTGACTATGCATAACTAAATTAGGAAAAAGAAAATATATATTTAAAGATAAATTATATTTAAAAAACTTTTCAAGAAAATTGCAAGAAAGAAAAAGAATAATTTTTCCAATTTACCCTTGATCGAGAAGAAATCCTTTGTATCAAACTATCCAATATTCTACAGTCATCATAATTATCTTCTAGTAAAAATCTAATAAATGATCGTAATAAGCCAGGATCAGTCACAGATCGAAGAAATAAGTCAAAATAAGCTGTCGCTGCGACTAATTCTTCCACAGTCGTCTGTAAATATTTTTCCAAATGATTAAAATTAAAATTAGAAAAATATAACATTATGCTTTATTGACAAATTTTTAATAATCATCAATAATATGCCAATGTATGTATAAATTTGCCAATAAGCAAAAAGGATTATATATTTTAATATTACCAATAGCAGAATACAGCATTTATCTTTTTTGTTAAATGTTATTTTACAATTAATTTTAATTTTTATTATTAATGTGAAAAAGATACCTTATATTAATAAAAATTTTATATTAATCTCGCATTAGAAACTCTGTAATATATTAAAAAGAAACAAAATATATAATTAAAAGAAATGTTAATTTTTACATAGAGCTATTTTCTTTTAATATTTAAATTGTTTATTTAACAGTACCATGTTATAAGACTTCTCTCTGTGTGGTAAAAGAAGGGTATAAATTATTATATATAAAATATATATAAAGTATAAATATATATAAAAGTAATATACAGATTGTCTCAAGGAGAGGAGGGAAGGGGATGATTCTACTTAAAAAAAATAAGTTGAAAATGTAGAACATTAACAAAAAATGTTTTGAAGTCACTTTCTTCAATGTTTGTCAGTATAACTTTTTATACATTAATATAATATATTTTATAATATATTTTTTATACATTAATATGTGGAAAAAAGTATATAGAAGTTATATATAATTTATATATATATATCAGACAAACTCTCACAGGATATCTATATTAAATATTTCATGATAAATTATTTAATAAACTTTTATACATTATATAAAAAAATAAAACCTGAAGAGAGAATTAATATTTAAACAATAATATTAATACAAATATATTATGATGATATTATGAATTATATTATGATATGACAAAAATGAATACAATTAATAGAGATGAATAAAAATTCTTTATTAATTACATGAATGAAATATCATATAAATAGCATAAAATTAAGAAAAGCAAGAACTATATCTTTGTAAAGTTAGCACTATATTTTCAAAATTTCGATATAATAGAGTTCCAATTACTATCTAATAAGTTGCACAGTTTCTGTTTAAAAAAACAATAATGTCAATTAAATATAAAATATAAAGATATGAAAATTAGATATTAATTTTTCTTTCATTTCAATAAAAACTGTTTCTTAATATTTTTAGATAGAATTTTTATATGCAAAACACTAAAAAATATTATTTTCAAAGAAATTTTTTAAATTTTAATTTAAAGAACAAAAAATTTTTTTTCAATTTCAATTTTATCTGCACAAATTGTAAGAATAATTAAAACTTAATTTCATTAAAGCTTCATTAAAACTTTTAAGGAGCTATCCAGAATTCCGAAGAAATCACTCGACTAAAAATGTTTTTCATTTGGTAGAAATTTAAAAAATTTTTATCTGAAGATCAAAAACTCACAAAAATTTCTTCAATCTTTTTTTTATTAATGTACAAGCTATAAAAAATAATTTTTAGATATTTTGACAGAAATATAAAATATAGGAGTATTTTACAATCGATAGAACTCGTTTTGAAATGTATCAGGAACTCTAGAACTCTTGTGAAAAGAACTGGAACTCTATTAATTATATCAAATTTCTAAAAATGAGTTGCTATCTTTACAAAGATAAAAATTATAGTTGCAAAGCAAAGCGATATAATAGCAATGTGTGTATTGTATTTGAATATCTGTTATAAATTTAATAAACCACATGATCTAGTATCTTTAATTATAAATATTCTTTATAATATGAGATACTAAATAACAATATTACATAATTTGATTAATAAACATGCTTGTGATTTATTATTATAAATCACAAGCAGTTTAATATTATTATAGATCACAAGTGGTTTATTATAAGCTCATTTATTTAAAAGTAATTTATTCTTATTAATTATGCTTTTAAATAAATGAAGTAAATTGATATAACCATAGATCTCAATATTCCAATAGATACTTGAATGTATTAATATGTCAAGACTGTTTTAAAATAATAAAGCACTAGAACACATTAAAAATAAAATTACGTCATTTAAATAAAAAAATTTATTAAATATATTAATATTAATTTAAAGTTGCAAATAATTTAATATTTTTGATATATCAATACATTTATATATAAATAAAAAAAAATAAAAAATATATCAACCTCATCAATCTCAATATCAAAAATTATAGAAAAAAAATAAAAAGTATATATAGAATAATTTAACTTTATTTTATGTAAAGTATCAATTGAAATACTGTACTGTGAAAACTGACAATTTGTACTAACCCAATATTGTTGTACATCTAGCTGTTCTAGGGTCAAGCCAAGAGAATCCTATGAGCATCATAAAAATATCACTAGATAGAAAAAGATACTAATACCCGTAAATTACACATAACACATCAATGATTTATATATTAATAGCTTCAACACCAGTGCACTTAACATTACCATCACCACATTGATGAATTCACATATACTTATAAGATGCATTATGTATGTAAAATCAATAAGCAATTAAAAATAAATGCAAGTTTTTTTTTATGAAAGTTTACTAATTATAACGAAAAATTGTACAATTTACAGCAAATTGTGCAATAATATAAAAACATAGGAAAATTAAAATTTAAGCAATTTTAAAATGATTTGTGAAATAATATTCAATATACTTAAACTTTTCTATGAATGATGAAGAAATATATATATTTATTGCAAAATAGTTTAGTGAATATTTAAAAAACTTTTTTCTATTATTTAATATATACATTTACAAGTTATGTAAAAATATCTCTTATTATTAAAATTTAAAATGATTGACATTTGAAATTTTACAAATGTTCTTTATCATATAACATTTATATATATTAATATATCATATCTGTCTGTACTACAAAAATAAATACCTTCTTTCACCACATGCATCAATACCAAAATACAATTTAGAAAGATAATATACAGATAAATAAATCAATACTCTTATGTAAAATTACATTCTTAAAATATAAAAAAATAAATGTTTTCAAAAAGCAAGAAAATCAGTTTATATTATTAATATTGAAATCTTGTTTTCTCCCTTTTATATTTTAGTAAGTATTTACCTGTAATAATGCTGGACCCATAACAGGAACTAAAAAACCTTGGTATAAAAATTCAAGCAACTGTTTCTGTACCATTGGATGTGCCACTTGTGCAACTGCATTGCAGAATTCTAGAGAATTCATGAGTTGCATAAGTGCAGGTAAGTCATTCACATCATCTGGTGTCAATTGATACCAATCATCTGTTTCAATGCCAAGTTTCCTTGGAAGTAAAGAATATAGCCCGCTCAATCCTGTAGCTAGTACCTAAATAAATGCAAACAAGATTATTTTATCATTTTTTATATATTTATTTTCCGTATTTTGTCTTAAAACAACAATGACCAAATTACTTACGGGACATATATTAGATTGATCAGCAATGTATAATCCAACTTCATCATTCTTCTTTGACAGCGACATACATAATAACATAGCATCACGTGCTTGCTGACCAACACCACCCTCTCGATGAATATGAGGTATTAATAAGTTGAATATAATAAATCTAAAATTATTTATCTATCAGTAAAAATATATTTACATAAAATATGTATTATAAATAAATAATAAACTATTACTTGTTCTTTCCAATTGCATTTGGTTGAAAAAACAAGTCAAGTAAAGCCATATTTTGCATTAAGACAACACACAACTGATTCAACAATACTACTAATTTTTTTTCTACTTCTAATGGCATAATATCATTTGCGCATTCTTGTAATAATCGTAAGAGTGGTCTAGTAACTGGTTCATGTGCAAGAAGGGTATTACTGTGCGAAATGAGCAATTCATAAAGCTTTATTTGTTCCAATCTTACAGCATTATTAAATCTGTAAAAAAAATCATAATTTTACAATAATAAATATACAATAGACTTTTATTACAAATATTAAAAAGTAGAAATGTACCTTCCTGTATGTACGCTCCAATCGTACAGTTTAACAAGTAAATTTTCACTTAATAAATGTTCTAAACATGGAGAATGCGTCGCAGTATTGCTTTGCTGATAGTGATTATGTAAATTCGAATCTCGTAATTCCAGCATCAATAATGTCACCATTTGATCAATATGATTAACAACTCCAAGCACGTCATCTTGACTAGGTATTCCTTTCAAAGGCTGAAATTAATTCATTATTACAACATGGTTCTTCTGTTATAAGACAACTTTGACTTTTACAATTTCTATAAGTAACTAATATAATTTATGTTGAGATTTCTTAATTAATATAATATAAAAGCAAATGTATACATATAATAGATTCAAAACTAGAAATCTGTATTTATAACATATTTAATGCCAAATGTGACTTTTGAATGCTTAGATTGAGATTTTGTAATATCTGATAATTATAAGATATATCAAATGTTAGAAATATTAAATTTTAATTCAAATTTGTTAATATCTTATTGAAATGTTTATTTTATAAGTAATGATTATTTTTGTATTTTTGCATTTTCATTACAATTTAAGATTTTATATATATATAATTGTCTATATCTAATAATTAAAAATTTGAAAATCTTCATGTTGTGGAAATTGTCAAATTTGTTCAAACAATATCTATAAAAATATAAATAAAAATTGCAAAGTTTTATTTAAAAAAAATAAAGAAAAATGAATATGTAACATTTTATATATAATTCTCATCATAACTTGAATTAATTTTAATTATATTTGTAAAAGATATGTTTTGCTTATTATCATATAATTTGATAACAATAAATAGCATCATTATATCTTTATCTTATAAAGATATAATAAAGATATACATCTTAATAAAGATATACATTATTGTTATCATATCATACACATATATCATAATATATATCATAATACCTCAATATATCATCATACCTCAATATATATCATAAGCTGATCAAAGATTATATTCAAGCTTTTAAAAAAAATATTATTAATTTTTACATTTCATATTTAATTTGTTTTATTTTGTTTTGCATTTAATTGTTTTAAAGTCTTAATGTAGAATCTTGAGCCTTTGTATTTATATCTAATCATTTTTTTTATATTGCTATCATGAATTTAAAGAGATGATGACACATAAGATGTTTTAAGATAATTCAAGCTTAAGAAAATATAAAATGATATTGCTAATCTTTCTATTATATCAAATTTATTTTTGTTAAAAACAGAATTTTGTATATGAAAAATTTTAACTTACATTAATTTATATATATATATATATATATATAAATGTATAATAATAATATATATATATATAAATGTATAATATATATAATTGTTTTCTTGTCAACTATATACATACCAGTATACAATATATTAAAGCAATGTATTAGATACAGAGAATTATACTATATTCTTTTGTTATCATAAATTTCATAGCTATTAAATTATTGTTCTTAAAACACTATAAATAAAAATTACAAAGAAAAGAAGAAATAAAAACTATATGTTCAGTTTTGACAGCAATGTAAAATACACATGTGTAAATATGAATATGATAATCGAAGAACTTTGAGAGGAAACTTTTTTCCTTACTAAAGAATGCAGAATAATTTCATAAGTCTGTTGCCAGTGTTTGCAGAAGCTGTCATAACATGCGGACGGATCGGCATCTTTTGGCGGAGAATTTCTGGATCGTTGCTTGCTAAAGCTCGTTCGCAGTGGACTGTTACGTCCAAGCCAGCTCATCTTTTTGCCAAGTATGTACAAAGTGTTCCTCACAATAATATGGTCAGCTTTGAAATCATCACGACCTCAATGTTCTGGTTTCAAGTAAAATATATATGTATATATACATATATATGTACAATGGAGTTCTTTCTTCTTTCACAGTTGTTATCAGAATTGTCTGATTATAATGTATCAATCATATAAGATCACATGAATGCAATACGATGACATTTATGATTCATATGATTCACCTTAATTCACACATTCAGCAAAAATATATTGTCATCTGTGATACCCTTTTTAATTCCTTTTAATGCCGCAAAATATGCCGCGTTTATTCGTCACAGTTTCGCGAAATTTTATCGTTTCAAAATCACCTGCAGTTTTTTACATTTGATTCGTAATATTTTTTGTTCTCTTTTTGCTCCCGCTTTATCATATATTATATTTTTGTGTTTTTACCATTTTTACTACGTGTTCTCGTTTGTCACGATTAATTACCTTCTCTACGTTTTTTGGCATCCACAGACTATTATTATACTAAATCGCAAAGTATTATATGATAAAATGTGATGCAGCCATTTTCTGGGTGGGTAGAATGACAGCATTTGGAGGATTTATCAGTTGGACAACATATCCAATAGCAGAGTTTGTTTTATAAAACAAACTCTCTTATTGGATATCAGGTATAATACGTCAAAAATCAGATGCAATATGAATTTGAATGGGTAGATTTTCACTTGACATTTATGTGAACATCACGTGAAATCACGACAAAAAATGGCGAATTGGTATTTTTATTTTTAATCAAGTGATACCTTTTTTTGGAAAATGAGCATCGACCGTCAAGTGAAATTCTATCTAAATATTATAAAAATTTGTGAAACATTTGTGAAACCAATATGTGCTACCAAGAAATTGACAGTACGTTTAAATAAAATTGGATTCACGTTAAATAATTCATAAATAAATATGTAAATATGATAGAAATCTGTAATAAATATTTGATCCACTCAAATCCAATCTATATAAATTTTCAGATAATTGTCAAATTTTTTTTATTGTTTAATAAAAATTTTCTCTAAATAGTAGATATCGATAATGGAACTATATCGACATGATATCGATAATAGATAACATATCGACATTTTTACGTTTAAATGAGGGCGTTTTCATATTGGAATTTTCGGCTGTCACTTCGGGACAAGAGTTTCACGAGAAAACGCCGGCGTGGCTGCTCTCAGACTTCTCTAGACTTTTCTTCGATATATGCTATATCAAATGATAGAATTTTCTATCGAAAGGAATTGTCGGACCCTTGGTACTAACTGTGTAAGTGCATGTATGTGCGATTAATTTAGAAAATAAAAATAGAAAAGTAAATATATAAAACACTATCATTTTCGTCAATAGTCTATATCTACAGACTTAACGAAATAATCGTTAAATGCATCTGACAGCTAAATATAAGACTGAGAAATATAGAATTATATTGCATATAATATTGTACTAGAAAAAATATACCGTGAGATTGTTAATTCTCGCTCTTCCATTCAGGCTATGATTCTGTGATATATTACTGGTCATGTAATTTCACGGTTATTTATACATGATGTACGTTTAATGAATTGCAAGTACTATAGGTAAGTGACAATAAAATTCTCTGCATGTGATTAACATTGACATTGCTCAAACTTGGGATATAAATAATACTATTAATTATTAGGTATTTTAAATTCAACTATCTTAAAAACAAGGTTTTGTATAGAAATTCTATTCTTTTGTGTATATATATAGTCATTTTTAATTTATAATTGTTTTTATCATTAATAATGGACAACGTTATGTAAAAAAAAAATTAATTACTTAGTACTAATTATATACTTAATACTAATTAAATACTTAGTACTAATTAGATACTTTACTGTCTGAAAATTTTAATTTTATCTTTCATTATAATTGAAATGACATCAGAAATTAATCCAAGAGAAATCATGTGAATTTTTTCTTTTATATTATATAAAATATTAAAATATTTTATATTTCATTAATTTACATTTAATAAATAGTAATAAATTAGTAAAATATCCCGAAAAAATATCTTTTTTTTTTTATTTATTAAATACACTTAATACACATACAATCAATACATATAATAGTCAAGTCAATGCATATAAAATTACTGCATAAGTAATTTGATATCAAAATTTTATATAATTTTAAATAAGCATAATTCCATTAAAAATTATCTAAAAAATTTTATTTTTATTCTCAAGAGTGAAGTCTCTATTTTAAAAAGTAGTAAATAAGTTTAAAAAGTAGTAAATTTGTTAAATTTTGGATTTATTCTTGTGTATTTAATAAATAATTGTACATTTATTGCACATTTACATGGTTTATCTTTTTTTGCAGATATGTCAGAGCACGTGGAATTGCAGCATTTAGTTGACATTGATGTGGAGAGTAACGCAACAAATCACAAAAAAAAATTCTCTTTATTATGCAAATCATGCCCTTATCTGGGTCTAGTATTAGCGACATTCTCATCTTTGTTCTTCTCATTATGTAGCGTCATCGTTAAGAGTTTGGTAGAGATAAATCCTACCGAAATGGCTATCTTCAGATTTTTGGGGGTATTGTTACCAGCTATACCAATTGTGATTTATAAAGGTGATCACCCTTTCCCAAAGGGACGTAGGCTAATACTTATTCTAAGAAGTTTTATTGGTACAACAGGACTCATGTTAAGTTTTTACGCGTTTAGACATATGCCATTGGCCGATGCTTCTGTTGTTGTATTTTCTGTTCCTGTATTTGTAGCGATATTCGCACGGATATTTTTGAAAGAACCCTGTGGGTTATTCAATGTTGTTACTGTATGTCTGACATTGATTGGTGTGATATTAATAACACGACCATCGCTAATTTTTGGCAATACCATAGAATCTCTCTCAGATGGCAGTATTAAACCAGGACATGCGGATTTGTGGGGTGCTGTGGCTGCTTTCTCAGCCACTTTATTCGGTGCAAACGTATACGTTTTATTACGCGCATTAAAAGGTATTCATTTCTCTGTTATAATGACAAATTTCGGTACATTTGCTTTAATACAGACTACATTTATATCATGGATTATTGGTGCATTATGCTTACCACGTTGTGGTACGGATAGACTTTTGGTTGTTGCACTCGCACTATTTAGTTTTGCAGGTCAAATCTTACTGACTTTAGCTCTTCAGATAGAACAGGCTGGTCCAGTGGCCATAGCAAGATCCACAGATATTGTTTTTGCATTTTTCTGGCAGGTACTATTTTTCAATGAGATACCAAATCGATATTCCGTAGGAGGCGCTATATTAGTCACAAGTTCAGTTTTGTTAACAGGATTGAGAAAATGGGCTCTCTCTTTACCAGAAACATCTAATATTAAAAAATCTCTTGGAATTTTAATGATGTAAATAATAATTATTTTATTTAATGATAAAATAAATACTTAAAGTATATTATATATTATATACAAAAATTAATATATTAATTTATTTATATCAATTTATTTATTTTAATATATTAATTTATTTATATAAAATGTATGTGTATGTATGTGTGTGTGTGTGTGTAATATAAATATGTATATATTTTAAATTAGTATGCATAATATTTTCATTTCTATTTATGATTACATGAAGATGTAACACAGTAAGAAAGTAACAAAAAATCAAGAGAAGAATTAGGAAAAAGAATCCATATGAAAATATATCTTTTTATATATTGCAAAATTCCTCTGTTCTGATTTATATCTCTTTATAAACAATTTTTTTTCTCTTCTGCTATGTATTTACAATGTAATCACATGTGATAATGAATAAAATAAAAAACGAATAAAAGAAAATATGACATTTTTATTTTGTATATTAGAATAATAGCAAAAATTGGAAAAAAAATTTCAGAAACTCGATTTGGATAGTTCAAAGTTGAAAAATTCTATATTCTGTATGTATTTGAATGAAAAGATTATGAATATATAAACTGATTATGAATACATTTTGATATAGCTATAGATACATGTGTAAGAAATACGTCTTCTTCAAGTATTTTCGCTCTAATACAGAATTTTATGGAATTTCAAAGTTCCTAATTATTCGCTGAGATTAGCTTTATTCAAAGTACATACCACGTAGAGATTTATTAAATACTAAAAGAAATTCAAATTTATTCTTTAATGGATTTTTTATTGATATTTCGTAAATAAAAATTTTTAAATCTTAGAAATTCTTTCAACTGACACGAAAATACATTTAGCAAGATGTTCCTCTTGAAATCAAATAATTTTAATTAAGCTTTTTATTTTTTGAATGGATAAAATTATTTCAGACATATTCTATTGATTAATGGAACACCTATATTGGCTGATTTAAAATCTAATAGGAAAATAATCATATATACATACACGAGCATGCACAAACATGCATGTACAAACTTGACAATTCACATTACAATAAGATTCATTATACTTTTTTTTTATAAATTCAATATTATTTATAAAACCAAACTATATATTTATGGAATATATTTCAGGAAATTTTTAAGATGTAATATAAAGACTTTATACTTATAGTACATTTTGAATTGGCATTAAAATATAAATTCAATCATCTTTTTTCTTCAGATATTTTCTAATTATTGGTATTAATGAAAATAAAAATTAGTAGTAATTCTTTTACAACAAATCTCTTCTTTTTGTCTTTCTTTACAGATAATACATGTCGATATATCAATTTATATATATATATATTGTGTGTATTAGAATTTCATTAATGTCATTAATATTAATTGCAAAATAGTGTATTATATGTTTCTAAAGGAGAAAATACATAATTATTGTATCAAAGTAATAAAATATTGTAAATTATGGACTTCATTATAACAAATAATGATATAGAATATATTTAAAGTTTTTTTAAGGTATTTTTAAAGTTATTTTATATATAAAAACATATATCTATTTTTATACACTGCTTACTCGCTATGACCTGCAGCTCTACGCAATAATACATATATTTTCTCCTTAATCCAATCCTTATTATATGGAGCATAAGTATTTGTTGATTTTTGATAAACAAGACATGATAAATCTGTTAGCTGGTCAACGAAATCAAATAATTGACTGATATCATAGGTAATAGTTGGAGTATTCGGGTTTCGCCTCTTTAAATGTTCTTCATAAATTTTACATACACCTGCAATACAAAAGTAAAAAATGATTAGTTAATATAAATTTATAATTATGGATATGAAAATATTTTAAAAATATGCAAACATATTGATAATAATTCAATCATGGACATATAATGTATTAAAAATTAATTTCATTTTCTTATAACATTTCTTATAAAATATATAAATTAGTTTACTTAAAATTGATTGATTTTATAATTTATAATTTGTAAAAGTCTATGTTATAGAAAAACAATTAATATCTTTTATCGCTAATATAAATTGTATTATATTTTATAAATTATATTTAAAAAAATATATATATTATATATATATAAATGTAACATTATTATAAATTAAGATACGATATTACCTTCCATGCATTCATTAACGCTTTCATAATCAGAATATGTTCTCGTTTCAGGCCTGTGACCAGGCTGTACCAGTAATATTGTATGAGACTAAAATCAAATTATATAAAATATAATTTTAAATATAAATTAAATTTAAATTAATAAGTATTATTGATTGAGTCAAACATAAATGTGTGAAATAATCTAATATGTATATATATACATATGTATATGAATATGTATGCCATTTTATATTTTTATAAAAATTATAAATAGAAGAAATATATTGTAATTTCATAATATTGTATAATACAAAAATATTTGTATTAAAATTCCACTAAATGACAATCAATTTTGAAACATACACAACATAATTTTCTCAAATTTTGTAAATCAATTTGTAAATCAATATAATCAGCCATACAAAGCATTCTTAAACATAAACAAAATTCACTATAATAAATTTCTCATTTTGTTAGAAATTTATTGTATTTATATCTCTTAATAGCAAATCATTGTCGCTATAATCACCTTAAACATAAAAATTTTGTGAACAATTTCAAATTATGTTCTATATTAGATTGTTATTCTTCTTTTTAGCTAAAAGGCTTCGTTAGACTGTTATTTTACTTGTTTACAAGATTAATGTATAATACAGATGGACGAGTAAATTAATCATACGTACAATTATTCGGCAAATTGATAGAAAAATAAAATAAAGTTACATATAAGAGCAAAATAAAACGGAAAAATTATGGAATGAGATTTCATCCAAGTAACTCAACACAATCGCTTACCATTTTTTTGTTTACGTGCTAACAAATTAGAGTGATGAAAAGAAGCCACAATTTGGATGTTTTCTTTTGAAGCGACAGATGAAAGAGAAATCAGAGTATAAACAAGTCTACCGGAAACAAATATGAGTAAATTATTATAATTGTCGATCACAATTATCACTCTTTAGACTCTTCGATAGCATGTTCATCGGATTGGTAGTATTATATATAAAAAAAGGAAAATCTGCCCTCTAAAGAATGTTTTCGAACTAAATGGCGAAAAATCATTAAGGCTGATATTCATAGTCCATTCTTATACATAAAACCTAGTTTACATCCGATCATTTGATACTCGTATCAAATTGTATATTTGAGCTGATCAACCAATGCTAGAGCTAAACCAATTTATTAATTATTTATTATTTGTACTGAGCAAGAACGAGAGAAAGAAATATTATATATCATAAGGAATGTTTATCCTTGTTGCGATTTTCTGATTGGCTAACGCAGGAAACTCATTTCGGATAAACTCTTTTCCAAAAACATTCTTCAAAAAAAGTATTTTGAGATAATATTAGACAAAAGAAGCAAGGAATTTCTTTATCCTTAAACAATTCGATGCTATTCTATCCTACGAGTAATATTTTCAAATATTTTTATTATTTATTAAAGTCTCTATGTGATATCTCGAACTTTGATTTTACTGGTTGTTGTCGATATATATTACCCAAAAATGGTCTATTTTCATATGAATCTTGTAAATCCTGGGAAATAATGCAAATACAAATAATTACAATATTTTTTTATAAACGAATTTAAATATAAACTTGCAATAGCAAACAAAATTGCGTTTGCATATTTTTCATCAAGCTACTTGATCTACATGCGATATATATATTCTTTGCATATAATATATATATATATTTATATTCTTTTATATTGTCAATATATTATTGATCATCCAGCGGTCAAATCTCATTTCTTGTCGACTCGAAATTTATAATTAATAATAAACATATAACCGGCGTTCCGCGACAAACCGTTGCAAATGCTAGTCTTAACACGATCCTTTCTCGTAGGAGCGTTGATGCTTTTCTGCATAACAAGAAGTATTTGTGCCCAAGTTTACCGGAACATGTCGAGTCTCGCCGGGGTACATTCTGTGGCATATGTCACGGTACCGAATCATACAGTTGCGAAGAAAATAGCACGGTATATATAATGATAGATTAACATTTACAAATGTACTTATTTGTTTTACTTTGTGATCAAACATATTTAATGTTCATTGTTTTTCACAAAGTGGCCTGGTCGAAAATAAACTCGCTGCCTGTGTCAACATCATTCCGCAACTTACTTCCATGTAAGTTTCTCCTATGCAAAGAGTATATTTTTCATTTGAAAATTAATGATAAATTCCTGGATATTTTTCAAAAAACATTGTTGATTAAATAATAAATATATTGCTCTTAGATATGAATGGGAGGGAAAAATACAAGAGGACCCTGAACTTTTATTAGTAAGAAATTCACTAAACTTTATAAATGAAATAAAAATATCTCAATACTGATTAATTATTTAAATTACAGATGATAAAAACTAGAACAGAGAAAATAGATGCTCTAACAAAATATGTAAAGTAAGTCAACTAATATACACTACAAAAATATATATATATCAAATTTTAATTCAATTTTTTTACAGAGATAATCATCCATATACAGTTTGCGAAGTAATTTCTTTGCCTGTAAGTTAATCATTGTGTGTGTGTGTTTTATTTTAAAAACTATTTTAGATATATAATGTCATTTTTAATATCCAAAATAAATACAATAACATCACCGCAAATACATAAAATATATTAAAATTACATGTTTATTCTGCAGATACAAAATGGAAATGATGATTATTTGAAATGGATCAGTGAAGTAGTACCATCGCTTGATAAAAATATCCAGGAAAAAGAAGATACATAAATTTGACACAGAAAATTTCACTACTGTGTCTATCTTTTCTCCTCTAAGATTATTCTATTAATAAATAAATAACAATCCACATTTTGATTTAAATGTAATAATCTAGACAATACATAGAATGTATATGAAAAGTCTTTGAAAACGCAATTTTCTTTGCTCTAGAATACTGATCATTAAATATGCTACGTTATATTGATCAGTCAATCAAAATGTCGTATATGTATATATATGAACATATACTCAAACAATATTTATCAGTTATAATAAAATATAAAAATTTAACTTTCAAATTACATTAGAATAAGGCATATCAATTTTCCTATATGTGAATAATTTTGTAACATGAACAAAAAAGTATTATTTATTCTTTCTTATTTTTATAAAATATTTACTATGTTGATATGCAAATATCCATTATTGAAGTTCTTGCTTCAAGAAATTTTAATTTGTGCTACAAAAAGCTATATCATAATCATATTTATACATGATACCATTATAAAATTTAAAATGAAAGATTATTATACAAAAAAATTTACTATTTCCCGTTTTCATAACCGGGATAAATCAATAATAATGCCGATGCCAATGATTGGTTGATCTCCATTTTATAAGTTTTACCTAAATCATATCGACATGAGGGGCAGGAATACACCTCGGAGGAAAAGCTTCGTTTTAAACACTTTAAGCAAATATTGTGTGCACAGGGAGTTGTTACAGGTTTATAAACTATTTCAAGGCAACAAGCGCATGTAAATCTGCAAAATCAAAAATCGATTATCAAGAAATTGTACAAAAAAACTTGTAATATTTTTTATAAAGAATATTATACCTTTCTGAAATATATTGCAAAAAGATAGTTTTTCCATCAGGTAATACTGTAGTGCATTCAGCCCATAATTTTGCATTTAGTTTGTCACTTTCTATGAAATTCTTCAATTCATCCTCCAAATTATAGATCTCCCTCTTAAGCTTTTTTTTAGGCGGACTCCTATTTCTCTTTAAAACCATAGTATCTTTTTCATCACTGAGAGTGAGTCGTTTCTTACCATTTGTTACACTATTTTTCTTCATCGCTTCGAGATATCCGTCGGGATATATCGGCTTCAAATCGAGTAAAGCGATTCTCGCCTTGCCTTCTTTAGTCCAAGGTGCAGGAGAAGGATCATCCCTTCTTAATACATATCTCCAAACACGAAAACCACTTTTACCTGTGTCTGGATAATATTTGACTACTTTGTATATACCGTCGTATCTGTAGCAAATATTGTTAAAAAAAATCATATATATACTTTATATTTATTATTCAGGATACATACCTATTACCTTCCTGTGGTGCATATTTACTATATTTCGCTAATTTAAAATTGCGTACAACTCGAACTGGTATCCCTCCTCTCCAATTCTCGGCCGTTGCTCCATCTTTCGCGTTTAACTTAGCATTACAATTTATTGCCAATGCCTTATTCATTCTGGTTAATGTCTGGTCACTACTTTGTTCAGCGGTTCTTTTGTTACCTATAAAATGTTGATAAAATGTATTGTAGAAAAATTTTGTGATTAAATACAAGCAATGTTCTTTTATCATTCATAAATTGACAAATGGTAACCTGATAAATCTCTGCCACCCGAGCCAGTGTATAGAAATTCATCACCGTTGTCAATGTCGTCTTCATAACCGCCCGATAAAACAATAGAATACGCGCAATCTGTTTCTCGTCCATGAATGCCAGCTATATGTGGCCTGTGTACTCCCACTTCTGAGACCTGTATATTTTTTTTCACATTATTCAACTAAATTATTGAACTAAATTTATCAATAAATTATTATGGGAAGAAAATTCGAAACCTTTATTTACCTGAACTCTAAATATCCAACACATGCCAACTTCTATGCCTGGAATCGGGCCACGATGATTTGAAGGAACAAGACTGCATATCTTTGTTCTACCAACACAAGCCATTCCTTTCCCCCAATCTCTCCTTGGTTCCTTATTATCTTGGCTAACAGATTTTTTCTTTGATTCTTTCAGTTTATCTCCAGCCTAATAGATAAATAATAGCAATCATGAAATGATAATGGATAAATAATAGCAATGATGAAACAATAACAAAGATATATCATCAATAAATTTAGACATACCTTAACAATTTCGTTTTCATCATTTTTGCATTCAGGACAATACCAATAATCATCGTCTGGAATTGTCGTAAGCGGTGGATTCAGACATCCCAAATGATACGCATAATTACATTCGTCACAAAGTAAAAGATTATGTTCATCTTGCTTGCCAGCGCACACTTTACAACCACATTCTTGACATTTTTTACGTGGATTGTCCATACAAGCTGTGCAGTTAGCAGCGACACGTCTGCGCTTGCCATTACTAATCATAAATCTTTCATCTTCCGCAGTTCTTTCTGTCAATAACTTAACTGTTTCTATAGCATATATTTCTCCTTTAGGATTAACCTTTTGAATTTCAAGTTGATGATCGCTGATTAAAAAAAAAACAATACAGTTAAGTTTAATTATAATTCTTAATAATTAATATAATGCAAAAAATAGAATGAAAATAAATACATACTGGCCCATGTGCAATATTCCAGTTAGTTCTTGCAATTTTCGTTTTTTATCTATTTTGGAAATTGTAAAATCGTACCATAATCCAATTTCTTTAGGCTCATCTACATTATAATTGATCATTACTTTTTGACCAATAGATAATTTATCAAATGGTACAAGATGTCTAGCGCGTGGCCGTATACATGTTTCAGGTACATTAAAAGGGAAAGCTTTGTCATCAAACTCCCACAGTACATTATAAACTATTTGCTCTTCCTTTTGGAAAATTTTTTGTACAATGGCTTCAAACCAGGCACCATGTATTTGATCAAGGCAGTCTATGGCATCTCCAACTTTATAATACAAGCTTTCTACTTCCACCAATTCCTCTTCTTTCCTTTCACTTATCTTCCTCTCCTTTTTTACATTACTAGAGGTAGCTTTGTTCTGTGTATCATCTACCTTTATCTTTATCAAAAGCTGTATGACGTCATTCAAATTAACATTATAATCATAGAGCTTATAACCATTTTCCAATTGCTTGCCACGAAAAAACAACCTCTGCATGTCTGTCTCAATGTGCAATTCTTTTTCAACTTCACGCTGAAAATTCAGAATATCAGTAAATATTCTATTATGCTGTTAAATATGCCTAGTGATTAAGTCAATATTTGTATTAATGCAAGATACAAATGTATTCGATGGTTGAGCTGCTCAACATGTACGAGATTCATTATCATCTAATTATGACTAATATGAATAAATATTAATTAACAAAAAAATATTTAATACACATGTTCATTGAGTAGAAGCTATTCAACGTTCATAAAGCCATGTATTCATTCGTAAAATGTAACATCTGGCGATGAATACCTCTCTGCTACAAAATTATTTCGCACGGCAATAATCATCAGTGACATACCTTTAAATCTTCTACCATAGTGAGCTTGGAGATCATTATAATCGTCTCCTTTTTCCCATCCATTGACCTCACTTTGACGTACATGTTGCCGTTGATGATGCACACTTCGCTTACGTACGTTGCCGTTGATGATTTACACTTTGCTTATGTACGTTACCGTATCACGATCCCGACCCTTCCGAATACAACAGCCTTTTGGCGGGAAATGTTTCTGATTTCCGAGAAGCAATGACCGTTCTCATGCTTGATAAAACAAACGTTACGCATGCGCAATAACGCAAATGGGTCTGTTCTTTTTAGCTGCTAGTGTAGAATTTATCTCAACTTTAGCTTAGGTTTGTTCTTTTTAATTGAACTAGTGCTGCACTAGGACTGCACTAGAATTAACGAGAAAATTTTGCCAGTACAAGAGCACAATGAGGAATAAAAAGAACAGTTTAGTGCAGTACTAACATGGCACATCAAAATATGAGAAACATAAATGTTCCATAAATAACAGAATTATCCGATAAAGAAAGACTTACTTGTAATGAAATTTATTTTATTACAAATTTGTAGGAAAATTAATGTTAAGTTTATTGATTATAATTAAAAATGTATTTTAAATTTTATTTTTTTAATTTTTCTATGAATTAATAATTTTATTTTCATTTTATTTATAATTTGATTTTTTGAATTTTTCTACGAATTAATCATTGTTTTTATCTATATTCTTTATATCAATATTATTTACATGACTATTTTTTTCGCAATTAATGCGTTGTTAATTAAAGGTTAAACTGCTGTATGTGTTTAAATCACGGCCTTAGATTCGTCTTGTTAAAAAAAATTCTCCTTTCTCGCCTTTCAACATATTATAGAATTGATTATGAAACTGCTCGCTTGCGCAATAATATTCTCGAATCTGCCAAGAGTGTTTCGAGGGCGGGAAATCGAAGTTAAAATTCGTAGCGGTTCGTAGCGGAAACGGTAGATGGCGGATAGCTGGTCGAGCGACCGGAAACCCCAGGTGTCGAAACAACAATCGAATATCCCGCGGGATATCGTTCGAGAGGGAAAAGGAAAATCCGCCGCTCGTCGTCCCGCCCGTCGTCCCGGGGGAATAAACGGCGGGCGACGTTCGCGGATCGCGCGCGCGAGTTGCCGCGGTCGAGGCGGCGCCGCGGGTGTCGCGCTTGAGGCCGCGAGTGCCGCGGCGGTGACGCCGTCGCCATGTTTGTTATAGTTTTCGGAGGGATGATAAGCGTACGCGACGGCGTCGAGATTTGAATGAGACGCGTGTGAGCCCGGTTGCCGTGTTGCACGTCCGTTGGTGCCGGCGTGCGAGCGCGCCGGCCGTCGCCGACTCGCGGAGCATGGTAAGCAGCCGTGGGTGCCGTTAACGACCCGGCCCGCCAGGCCGGCCCCGTCGCCCCCCGCCCTCGCCGCGCTCGGCCGGCGGCCGATTTTCGCGCGGATTTTCGGCCGTCCCGTTCGGGGCCTACGACGCCGCCAGCGACGTCGCGCGACCCCCCCGAGGCTCGCTCGCCCTCTCGAGCGGAAAAGGTAAAGGGCCGGCTCGGGTCCCTCGTCGACGCGCCGCGTCGAGCGTCGCGACGCCGACCGGCGCGAGAGATCTCCCGGCGAAATCGTCGTAACGCGATATGCACGGGCATTGCGCCGCATGTAAATCGATATATGGCTCGCTCGCGAGTGTGCGCGTGTGCACGTTCAAACGTCGGCCGCCATGTGTGCGTGCGGTCGCGCGCGCGCCCGCCCAAGCACTCACACAAGCGCGTCTCTCCGGAACGCCCCTTTTTATCAAACGATCGAACTTCTTTCCCGCGCAATCTTGCCCGGCGCGAGACGTCGATAGCGCGCGCCGATGTCCTCCGAGAGATCCTGTCCGTTTGAAATTCGCAGCTTGTGAATAAGAGTTGTTTTAACTCGATTTTTTGCGTTCTTCTATTTTTCTTTCTTCGCGCATATATGTATATATTTTTTTTTCTTCCGTATCGCGGTACTTGCTTCGAATATTTCGATTATTCCTGTATACGCGTTATACGTTTTTCATAAATATTATTTTTTTGTATAATTTTGTATAATTTTATAATTGGAAAAATATATGTGTGGCAATAAAAGCTTTAGAAATTTGAACAATTTTTGTAAATTTTATTTTGAGACAGCGTAAAGACTCTTCCTATCAATTTTCCCAAAATAATTTACAATATTATTGAGCCTAAACAGTTTTTAAGTATGTATTCATTTATATCAGTTTTTAAAACAAATTGTAAAAGATTCAGTTATTAATTTAAAAAGTGTCAATCTACAATTTATATTACGCTATCATTTCAGGATACTTAACAACGCTATTGAAATGTGGCTAAGAAGCGAACGAATTAGTAGAAGATTGCGCGGCCGTTTAAGTTTAAGCGGTGTAACGGCATCAAAGGCAACCAGTCATCGAACGCAAGTTGGTACAGCGCGCAAAGTACCGCATATTGGGAACAGCAGTCGAGTGATAACATCGAGTAGATGCAGCAGATTAAGTCAATGGCGACGTAGGACATCCAGTTTTCTAAAAGAAGTGAGTTTATGAGAATTAGCACATTCTTTTTATATCATATTCCACTAGAATATATTTTGCGCAATATTATAGTTGCATATTTATTATATAAATATGATCTTTGCAGATCATTTATACTTTATCTTTTATTGAAACGAAAGATGTATATAATTGGCAATTGCTAATTAAATAAATGCAGAGAAGATATTTAAAAATTACTGACCTTTGTAGGCTTGTAAAGAAAATGTTTTACATTTTGCCAAATCCACACCTATTAGACGAGAAAGAGGACCTCGTAGAAGAAAATGTATAAAACGGTCGATGGTTACGTCAACTCCCTTGCACCGTGCTCCACCAATAGATGCAGTCATTGTAAGTTGTCGCGATTACTCTTTGATGTAAAAATCAATTATTATATCTGAAATTAATACATACTTTGTAGCCTGCTAAAAACGTATCACCGTCTAAAGTTTCGGAAGAATCTAAGGAAAATTGGAATGGAGGATCCACTTTACCTCTTTGCTCGTCAGTAACGAATACGGACTCTCGTAGTTCAATGATACCGCCGGTACATGATTTGAAATCTTCCATATCCAGTGTATCTTCATTGACCTGTCTAATGCCTCCGGTATCCTTAGGATCGCATTCAGATCTCACATGTTTGCTAGATGATGAAGGAAGCAAAAACAACGGTATTTTTCGATGTCATGTATATAGTCAAAGTAATATTGAATTAATACGGTATTAATATATTCTTCTCTTCCTTTTTTTACAGATACTACGCTACCGTCGTCATTACACTACTCTTCTTTATACGCACAGGCCGATACGTCCACAGAATATTATAGTTTGATGCATTCGACTTCAATATATAACGTCCGTACAACCACGTACAACATACCTGACAAATACTTTCCAAACGGAGGAAAGTGCTCGCTTATCGGTAACAATGAAAACCGCAGTGATCTCTCAAAAGATCAATATGCTATTGAAACAGACTCAACAAAACATGAAACAACTGCTGGATATCCCAGTACAAAATACAATGTACCAGCAAGTATGTACAATATAAATCCTCATCATCCATCTGATACAAACGGCAATCTTAGTGACAAATATGATTCCGAGGACGTCGACAGTCGTTATCACGAGGTTGAATACATGGAGGTGGGTAGCGAAGAGATAGTAGAGTCTTGCGATGTAGAGAACATGGTTACTCAAGTTCAAGAAGACTGGGAGCCGTTCGATCCTTATGTCTTCATTAAGCACTTGCCACCGCTCACGCCAGCAATGAGAGCAAGATGTCCGGCTCTGCCGCTCAAAACACGAAGCAGTCCGGAATTTAGCCTAGTGTTAGACTTGGTAAGCTTGAGGTCGAGATTATATCTATATATATTTGCAATATATGGTGGTAAACAGCTGTAATTACTTTTCGGTTTTCTTTCTTTTTTTCGTTTTGTTCTTTTGCAGGATGAGACATTGGTCCATTGCAGCTTACAAGAACTATCCGACGCGGCGTTTCGCTTCCCAGTAGTTTTTCAGGATGTAACATATACGGTATTTGTAAGAACGCGACCGTATTTTCGCGAATTTCTCGAACACGTCTCGTCACTCTACGAGGTGATTCTGTTCACGGCAAGCAAACGAGTATACGCCAACAAGCTGATGAATCTGCTGGATCCAACGCGAAAATTGATCAAGTATCGTCTGTTCAGGGAACACTGCGTCTGTGTTAACGGAAACTATATAAAAGATTTGTCCATCTTAGGCAGGGATCTATCTAAAACTGTAATTATCGACAACAGTCCACAAGCATTTGGGTATCAGGTAAAATAATTTGTATAAATAATACATATGACATGATACACTTATATCATGACATATGATACACTTTAGAAATATCCTTTAGAATATGCATTTAAAAACACTAGTGTGTATTTTACAGCTAGAGAATGGCATACCTATAGAAAGTTGGTTTGCTGATCGTTCGGATAACGAATTAATGAAGTTATTACCATTTTTGGAAAATCTAGTAAACTGGGTAAGTTTTTGCACAATGCCGAACCTAATTTTATGATAAAGTATAAATAGTTAGGCAATTGGTTTTTTTCTATTTCTTGTCGCAGGGAGGCGATGTAAGGCCGCGCATTAGAGAACAGTTTCGACTATTCAGCTTTCTACCACCGGATTAATTTAACTAGTGCACAAAATTCAACACTGTCTGAGATACTTCTCTAGCCAATAAAGAAAAAAGAAGATACAAAAAATATCTTAAAGATATATTAAATAGATAAATAATAGTTATTCTCCGCGATGCATAAAGCGTAAGCCGCTATAATATAATAGTTTACAATGTTTCACAAATGGAAATGCCTGTTGGTATATAGAAATGGAATTTAATAAGTCTAGATTTTTGGAATTATTGTTTCATGATTCATTGTCTGAAAGGAAGTATCTGTAAACGAAAATGTTGCGTACATATGTGCGATTTTGTTAGTTTATTCATTTAGACTTATAGATAAACAAATCAAATCATGTCTAATGAACATTAGTGAGCATAATATGTTATTGTATATAATTTTTATCAATACTTCCAAATGAGAATCAAGTCTCTCCATGACGTGATTATACAACTTATGTATATAAGATTCGTATCTTACGTACAATATACAATATACAATTGTTTCACAATTTACTCTTGTATTGCAATAATTGAAAGTAATATCTATATGAGAGTGCTAATTTTACTTTTTTTTATTTTTTTAACCAGTATCGGTGAAATGTATGATCTCAATTTATTTATTTATCTATCTGAAACATCACTGATTTGAAAATTCTTTAATATATTCGCGTTATCACGATTATTTGATTTGATTGTGAATTACAATTGTTTATTATCACAATTTTTAAATCTAGGTCTAGATTGCAATTTATATATAAATGTTAATATTATTATAATAATATAAATTATTATAATAATATAAACACATCAATAATTATATAATTATATGCATGATATAATTATATAATTATACGCAATTATATGTGGTACATGATAAACCTGTGTATAATTCATAATGTAAGAAACATAGAATTCAGTATCAAAAACAAAAAAAAAAGAATTAGCAGCAATTATCGTGTAAGTGGCGTCGCAAAAATCTTACGCCTTGTAGTGTGTTTATCATAGTTTAAGATTATACTCATTATGCACATACAATATTAATAATAAATAATAACAAATTGTTATTCGTGAATGCAATTGGATTATGTATAGCTAATTTCCCAGAAAACGTTCTTTTTTTTTCTCTTACATCACAATTGTGGATTATTTTTATTTTGCGTGTTACATATATATATATATATATATATATATATATATATATATATATATATATATATAAATTATCCCTATGTTTGTTATGAAAATAAATTAACGAGAGATAAACAATGATCTTGTGGTATGAATAGACAGATCATTTGATTCGCGTTTCAACGGTATAGTAACTGAAACGCTGGAGACAAGAAACACACTGAACATTATAAATATTAAGTTTAATATTTATAAAAAATATATTAAATTTTACATGCAGCTATTATCCACATCAATAATTATTATCTTTCCCGAATCTGCATGCGACAGATATAAAAATTGAGAATGATATACATTGACTAGAAAATTGTTTTTTTCCTACTTTGCTATAACATCGAGACGACATATTTTAATTTAATAGCGCGCTTAACAATTACACTATTTTAATATTTTTAATTATTAATATAAATATTAATTATATTTTAATAAAATAATTATGAAAAAATATTCATTGTCAGTATTCAAAATCATTGATGTGATATATAATTATCAATATTTTACGAAAAACGAGATTTTATACCTAATATATATATATGATAGCTTCCGAAATTGTGCTTCAATATGTTTCGGGACATTTATTGCCTGACATTAGGCTATGTTTGAATTTAAAGAAAGATCGCCATTTTCTTTTAATTCATTTATCCTTGGTATGGATGTTGGATCATTGGCTTAATTCTTGAACTCCAGCGTTTCATTAGTCTGACTGTCTATAGCTTGAGGAGAAAAAAGGCTGAAAAATGTTATGTGCAATATTATGCATTTAAAAGAAATCCATAAGTATTGGAATGATCAACTTTAATATATATATATCATATTTATAATAACAACGAGCTAACATTAAAGTATATACTACATGCTTCGATTTAACAATACTCGCACTTCAGATATATCCATCTTGCAGTGAAAGAAAAAGAAGAAAAATTCGATTCCTAATCAGCCTTTATCGACGAACAATTAATTATTGAATATTACATAGATTTTCCTTTATATGGTCATCCTTGGCCACGTCCGTCGCAAAGCACAGGAACCTCAATTTACGATGAATGTAATCGGTGTACCGCAACTCGATGTATCTGAAGTCCGAGTAGGATTCTATCTAATCCTCCGAACGCTTGAAATACCTATTCTCGATGCGTTTACACAGATTCACGAGCTTTGGATGATTCCGCACAATCATAGCCAATTTGTTGTTTGGCGTTAACGGCGTTGTGATTATTGTAAATATATGACCAAAGACCAAGGCATCCAATTCATTAGGCTTGCTAGATAAAATCATGCATCAAATGTCATAATCAATATATTTAAAGAAACATGTATTTATTAAAGTTATATATATACGTATAGTAAGTTATATATACGTATAAATCAATTCATCGATAATGTAAAGGAGTGTTCGGAAAGAGAAGGAAGTGATTCAGGCTGTGATTGAAAGCCATCCCACAGAGTATCCTTGGAAGGTGATTCAATTATCTCAAACTCTTCAACAACTTTGTTTTGTACTTTAGAGTTAAAGTAGCAATGTTTAATTCTAAACATGTGTTCGATAAGCTTGGGAAACTGACGAATCGTGGTGACGATCTCTTGGTTTGAAGGAAAGGATGATGTGAGAGCGTGAACGTGACCATATATCAGAGCATCGATTTCGGTGGGACTTGAAGGAAAAAATCAGGCAAATGATTCACAGAAGCAAAAAAACAATGACGATAGTAGAAAAGTAACTTACTCTTTTCCAAAGAAAAACTCTTCGTCTGCTAGTCTCTCAGAGAGCGCTATACAACACTTTCTTACATCATCGTACACTTCATCTAGACTCTTGTTATACCAGCCGAGTACATTAAGTTTTTTTATAACTTCTCGTCTCTTTTGCCAGTTTAGATAATGATTAAGCGGCCAAGGATACACGCTCCCGTGTCTCGTTTTTGTAACTGCGTTCAAAATTGCCGTATCCACCCAACAGATGTACAATTCCGCGTTTACAAATACATTGTTTACAAGAGACAGATACGCTCTCATATCCACTTTGGCGGCAGAGTCCAAGTGATCGGACAGACTTACTCCTTTACTCGCTATGTGGGTCACTATACCATCAAACTCGGATATCAACTTTGTACCGCATTTGATAAATGGTACACGACCCGATGGCGACATAAATTCTGCATTCTTCCTTGGTTCTATTTGAAAATTAAGCTGACACATCTTGAGAAAGGCCTGCACCGCCAAGCAGTTTGCATTGTCAGGAAGCAGAATTTGCTCCACTTCGTAAGGTTGATATAGAGTGATCGGTTGAGGCCATGGCTCTTGAGCTGCGGCACAAAGTAAGATGTTATTACAGTGATATACAAGATTCATCTTCAATGTAACAGTTACATAATCGACATGCAAAGATTAATATATGTCATAACGAATTAAGAAATGACGGATAAAATGTGAAAACTCTTTTTATTATCATTCAAAGTGGCGTTATACATGTGAACTTACACATCGCGCGCAAAATCTTGTTTACAGAAATGTAAGGTTAGATTAGGCGAAAACTTATCGAAATGATACGGAAACTCTGATAATGCAATTTCAAAGAAACGTTACCTTCCAGCTCTACCGCGATCGAGTCGCTCAATAATACGTGAGGCATGTCAATGACAATCATACACGCGAGGACGCGTCTTTTTTCGCCCCGCTATTTCGAGATTTGCGACTGATTGCTCGCGTTGTAAGTTGTAAAAGCGCCACGAGCCCAATAGCGAATCGTCGAACCGCGTCGTACAACGATTTTTATCAAGCAAGCAGACATTACAATTCGCGCAAAATAATTCGAGTCGAGTGAATAAAATTCAATCGAAATTCAGTCAACTTTCAATCTCTCTCAAATCTTATAGTACAAAAGTTAATCCCAATTTATAATTTTTTTATCCAGTTTTTAATAGAGAAATTCTCGCGTCTTCTTATTCCGATTAATCGATACAAAATTGACGTAAATTGCTCTCGCAGATTTTCCAAACTATTTTTACTTTTAAAAAAATTCAAATATTTCTTAAATATTAATTTTTTTATATGAATATAAATACATCTCACTTTGTGAATCAAGAGATTGCTCCGCGCAAACGTTTCCAGTTTCTCTCGCATCGAGCTGAGATTTATCCTGAATCAATAATAAACATAATGTTTCATATATCTTTATCACTATTAATATTCTTTAAATTAAGTGCGCGTATAAATATTCGCTGTTAACTTTTGAGGACTTTGCACTCGATAAAAAAGTGCGAAGGATGCACGCTTGTAATGACACATCATTTTTCTCGTCAATATCCTGAAATGTATTCTGATAGGCGTGCATATTTCTCGTTAGAAAAGAAATTTGTTCGACACTTTTTCTTCACATTAATATAAAACTTACAATTTTTATCGAAATTTATATCTAATCTTGTTTGATATAATATGCCAGATATATATAAGTCAAAACATTTTCATTACTACTTGATTCATTAATAACATAATATATTGACGTAGTAATCAATAGAATGTCCATTTAATTTATTCGAATGTTTTTTAACATGAGATTTTATAAAAGATTATAACAAAAAATATTTCCGAATAACATTAATTCAAATATATACAGGGTGCCCGAAAAATCGCTCGCAGTACTTCGACAAGTGATTCGGGATCCAAAAAGAAGCTATAAACATAAATTCGAAAATAAGTCGTTGCCGAGTTATAGTCACTTTTATGTAAAAAAAAAACGTAATTTATAAGCTGTATTCCGAGTTTACTGCCAGTACTGAAAATCTATAATATATGTGACCTAAATTATTACTAGATTTTTAGTACTGGCAGTAAATTCGGTACACGGCCATAATCTATTTGTCATCTTTCTTTTTTAAATTTAAATTTAAAAATTTAAATTTAAATTTTAAATTTAAATTTTTAAATTTAAATTTTTAAATTTTTAAATTTAAATTTTTAAATTTAAATTTAAATTTAAATTAAACGTTTAAATTTAAATTTAAAATTTTTAAATTTAAATTTTTAAATTTAAATTTTTAAATTTAAATTTTTAAATTTAAATTTAAATTTAAATTAAAACTTTTAAATTTAAATTTAACATTTTTAAATTTAAATTTTTAAATTTAAATTTTTAAATTTTTAAATTTAAATTTTTAAATTTTTAAATTTAAATTAAACTTTTAAATTTAAATTTTTAAATTTAAATTTAAATTTAAATTAAACTTTTAAATTTAAAAATTTATTAATTTTTAAATTTATAAATTTATTAACAATTATTATTTATTATTTAATTTTTTTATCGCATTTCATTTAAAAAAAATTGTACGTATACTCTTCGGTTCATATATAATCTGGAATAACGGTTGCACGTCGCAAGAGTTACGGATTCTATCTCTTTTTTTTCTATCGCCGGACGATGTTAAGATCAATACAATTTCTGCTCGAGAGCTCCGGGAAGGTTTTTAAATGTCAGATCATATGATTTGATTAATCGCGTTTAATTCTGGAGGATGATTGGCACGTGAGCGAGAGACTTATTGTCATCGAGAGACCAACAATGAAATTCATCGACTTGGAGAATTTTCACGAGATCGAATCGAATTGCTAATGAGATTGCAATTTTATATTCAATTTAAAAAAACCATACAAAAAGAAGATCGAAGATTACATACACAGATTCATCGTGTAAAAATGGAAAGGTTATGTAGAGAAAAGGAGAGACGGAGAAAGAAAACAAAGCGGCGTTTCGTAAAGACGAATCGATGGCAGGAGCGCTAAGGTTCGCGGATGACAGTTTCCCTCGGCCTCTCGGTCGGAGAAACGCGTGTATATTCTTAGGTCGACCCGTCTCGACATTCTCCTCTTTCTCCTTTCGTCCGTACACATGTGCGTGCATGTGCGTGCGCTAGAGAGAGAGTCGCATCGCATCAGGCATCGGCGTCGCGCGTCGCCAGAGCCAGTCAGCTGGCCCGCCAGGCCCGCCAGGCCCGCCAGGCCCGCCTGTCCGCTCGCCTGCCACGCAAGTCCAACGCAGTCCACCTGAATCCATCGTTCGCTCGCCTCCTCCGGCGCTACGTTCAGACGGTACATACTTGTTGCTCGCGCGCAAAGAGAGAGAGAATACGGGAGAAGAAAGGTGGGAAGAAGAAGCGGCCGCGGCCGAGGGAGGACGAGAGGGAAGAGAAGCGGGAAAGAAAGGAAAGGGAACGCACCGGTACGCAGAGACGGATACACAACACACGCACCCGACGCCTTCGCCGACATCTTCGTATCGCTCGACGGGCAACGGGCAGACACTCAGCGAGCCTCCCGCAAACCGGTGAGAGAGCGCGTCTCGATCACGATTTTCGAGCGCACATGTATGTACATACGTATCTATGTATGCATGCCGTTTCCCCGGTCTCGTGGCTGCCATCGCGGCCGCCATCGTCGCCGACGATCGCGCGCGATGATGCACGCTGATGGCTACGTCTCACCGGGCAGCCTCGATCGAACGACTCGCGACCGCGTCGTGACTGCTAGAAATCCCTCGGCCTTTCTAACCTAAATTCTTCATTTTGTCAATTCTCGCGGGGAAGGAGAGATAGCGAAGAAGTGTAGCGTGTTCTCGTCGATTCTTCTCGTTTCTCCTTCTCTCTCTCATTTACCCTCTCTTTTCATTTTTCACAGCTAAAAATACAATTTTTGTCGCAGAGGCAACCACGACTATTTCGGCGCCGGCGCCGTCGACCGTAATCTCGGTCTTTTCCGCGGTCCCGAAGGTCTATTCTTTCCACGAAAATCCTTGGCGCGTTTTTATCTCCTTTCTTGTAGATAATAAAAAAAGAATTCTGACAAAAATTAGAGTCCAACGCGATCGATACGTCGAAACGACCTCTCGACCTAAACGTCGTTTGATTACCAATGATTGTTTACCAATTTTTCGTGATTCGCATCGTAAATAATTGCAAAGATTGACGATGATGCGCTAATCGAATGTATTACAGTAGCCGCATGACGAAAAAAAAAAAAACGAATTGCGAACCGGTATCAAATCACTATAAATGCAACTTGATAAAATGGATACCAGGAGATCAGGTGTCGATTTATTTTTACCGCGTTATCGCGTCGTATCGTTCACACTTCATGAAAGAAATACTGTTCTCCTTTTTGAGACATCTCAATAGAGCACATGAATAAGCGGTCCTGCAATAATACGCTTTTGAACTGATATTTTTTTTACGAGTTTCTCGCACTTAAACATAAGTGCAAATGTCTCGAGTTGCGCTCCAACTAGGAACCTCCGCAAAGGGAACATTTAAACTGCGAGACTTAAGGAGGGGAAACGACAATTACATAAATAAGCTAACTTATTTGTGGCTACGTTGCTCGTGATTGGCGGTAGAGATTGAATAGATTGAGCAAACCAAGAGCGCGGATAATGAATCTTCGTGCGTAGGACGCGATCTGCGAACGATGCGTAGTTATTCGCCAAGAGAGAGAAAGAGAGGCGTTTTCGGATTTCCAAAGGAATAACGCGCATCGTACCTTTTACAGAGACACACGCGTCTACTAAGGCGAGCATTCGCCTTTTACAGCGAAAAAAATCTCTTAAAATCTCTTTCACCTCGAAAAAGTAGCTCGATCGTAATCATAAATTTATATTTAGCCGGTCCAGCTTTATATATTACAATGCGCAAGAAAATGATGCTTTTGATATAGATTAGATATGTACGCGGGTAAAAGATCGTGAGTCACACATTGCCACATGTTGCATAAGACGTTGCGTCGCTAAATGGGCTTGTGTCCAGAGATGCCCCGGAGATTACTTATCGATAAACGCTGGACGGATGAGACATATGTTCGATGAATGATCGAGGGTGTTTTTAAGTTAACGACCAGTTAAAAACGACAGTTAAAAACAAAAAAGAAAAAAAAAAAGAGAGAAAAGTTTAGGAAAATTTAACAAATTTTTTACCTCTGATTTTTACTCATGTCCTCCCCTTGTTCGTTTTTTTATGGCCTTGTAGTTGTCACATGCGAAGGACACTGAGGCGTAACGAAATTAGAGGTCGAGCAATTTTCTAAATATTCGTTATGGCCCCCCGCGGTTTTGCCTATAAAATTTCTTTATAAAAGCGCGCTCCTTATCGAGACATGCGCTCACTATTGCTCGACGTTTGCGGAACAATTGTGGGCGTGTTTAAATCGCTGTCGCGATAAAGCTGTCGCGAATAGGAATCGTCATGTAAGTAGCTGCGTGTAAAACAAATCGAGTTGGCGGGTTATTTCTCATCCTGTCTATCATTATTATACACTAATTTATCGATAATTTACGTCTAATTTATATAACAGAATAAAATCAATCAAGGGGAAATGCATTCTATAAGGAAACGGAAATATTAAAATGCTCTTATTATTATTGCTCGTCATTATTATTTGATTATTCCAGTTGCACTATCTGTCTATACTTGGCATTATCATGAGACTGTTACTGATAAATGCTCTTCCTGCTTTACGCTCTAGCCGATTAGTAAATATATAAAATTAGTTTTCCAAGCAAGTTTGTACGATACACATATATTGGCATCCCTCGTTACGTTGACAGATTGTTGCAATTTATCACCGCAAAAAATGTTTGCGACGTACATTCTGACAAGCATGTATTCTGTTTTTAGGAAGTTCACCATGTCGCATCATATTGTTACCGTCTGCGTGGTGTGTGTATTGTGCGCCGCACATGTGCCCTGCTCGGCGCATACGAATCCATCAGGAACAGTGCGCAATTCGACAAACACCAGAGATCCCTCCAGTCCGGACGAGCAATCATTTTCGACGCTAATAAGTTCCCAGGATACATCACATCCAGACACGAACAGTCAAAGCTCGTATCCGAATAACTTTGTTAGCAATAAACGCGACACTGTAAGATTTCACAGTACGCGATACGTTAATCGTAATAATAATAATAATAATGTCCCGGTAGCCGTTAATGCAATACCAACCGCATCGCGCGATGCTTACCTTCTTAAAAAGGAGATAACGGAAAACTTCAAAGGCGGTGGGAATGCACGAAATACCCAGTCGTCGATTGCGAGCGCGGATGTGTCTGTAAATTCGAGAGACGTGGAACTTTTGGAGCGACTAGCTCAAACGGAATTATCATCGAGTGTAAAACATAAATCTAGTGCAGATTTACATACCGATTATAGATCTAGATTAAAAAGAGATGTAGCTGTAGACGAAATGTACTTCATGAAGAAGATTTTCGAGGCCTATGGTGACGGAACGAGTATAACTATGGATGGTTTCGAGAAACTTGTCCGTAAATTGGGTCTATTGAGATTGTTGACCGACGCATCGAAGCTAGAAAATGGCAGCACTGAAACAAGTACGCACAAAAATTAATTATATAATGTGTATATTAAGAAGTGAGTAAACTTATCGAGAGAATAATTATCAATTTTACATGCGACAGGTAACAATAAGAATTATCCAAATAACGGCCTACATGACGTAGATAGCAAGAATAACAAGGAAAGGGTGAGATATATAAACTGTTAGAATAACATTTAATATTTGTGCTTAGCTATGTATAATTATTATAAATTATTTAATTTTGTTCTGCTAAAATATTTACATTTGCAACGATTAATATTTTTACTATTTTAGTGCTTAAACAGCCAAGAATTGCTGAGTACCGTCGCACAGGATACGCATTATACTTTCTCTAATAATGCCACAACAATGCCCAGCTGGCTCTTCGAACGCGTATGTCCGGCTCTTGTATATCAATTAGCAGCTGAATCCAGTTCAGAGAGGAATGGCTGTATACGGGTACCCGAAAATTACAAACCCGTATCTCTCGATAAGTTTTATACAGATGATTCAGGGCGCAATACTTTCAAAGGTATATATAACTAAAGCACATATGTATATAGATATAAACGCATGAGTGCAATGATTAATCTTTTCTTGTACAATTTTATCACTCGATAAATGCAATTGTTGCTTTTTTACTTATTCCAGTCTGGATATATTCAACAATTAGTATTTTCATAATTAGTCTTAGTGGGTTACTCGGTGTAGCGGTAATTCCGATCATGAAAAAGAATTACTATCATCATGTGCTACAGTTTCTAGTTGCGTTGGCCGTAGGTACTTTAACCGGCGATGCCCTTATTCATCTGTTACCACATGCAAGTTTTTTTTTTAATTTTCAATATATGTTATATATACATTTAAAATACAGAGAAATATTTTAATAATGCAATAATTTATTTCTCTTGCATCTTTAGGCGATGATGCCCTCTCATCACGAACACGATGAACATGACGATCATCGCGAAGAAAATACTTTATCGATTAATCACGTGGAGCAACATAATTCAAACATGTGGAAAGGATTAGTCGCTATGATGGGTCTCGTGTTCTTTTTCTTTACCGAGAAAGCATTAATCATGTTAGCGGAATGGCGGAAACGTCGACAACGTCGGAACAAGGTAAATTAAGGAGAAGCTGTATTAAATTTCACATTATATATTTCGCATTATATATTGTAAATTAATGAAGTAAAATTATTATAGTTACCTACGCGCGTACGAGTAATGAGAGAGAGTGACGGGCCAAACAGTAATGTTGTCGGTGAAAAGTTATGTAAACACAAATATTCATCGTATCCGTATTGTTATGGCGAGATTGCTAGCGAAACTCAAGGTAATATTTATTTTCTATAGGCAATTTTTTATCGATATAAAAAATGATACTCGTGTCATTGCATCTCGATCAAAAAATAGAATCATATCAACATTTTTGGCGCGATAAAAAAATAAAACTAATTTCAATATTGAAACGTACATAGATAATCATCACAATCGCCAAATTAATCACCACGAAAGACCACCTATTATCGAAGAAGAGAAGCCGTTGACATCGAATTGCAACTCCACGAAAATTGTTAATGATATGGAGAAGAAACCGAAGGATGATTGGAGATTGGATGATTCGATCATCAATAACGCAAAGAAAAACACCGACGGTGCCAACGTATCGTTAAACGAATCGGAAAGCTATACAGTCATTATACGAGAACACGAGAACAAACATCACGGCCACAGTCATTCTCACGGTAGTGCTTTTATATAAATACAATTGTTCAATATAAAATATAAGAATTGCACAAGTAATTTAGTAACATGCCTGTTAAAAATCTCCAGGTCACGTACATTCGGCTCCTGAATCCATGTCCAGCGTAGCTTGGATGGTCGTTATGGGAGATGGTTTGCATAATTTCACAGACGGTATGGCTATTGGTGCAGCATTTTCGGCAAATATTGCCGGTGGATTCTCTACGGCTATTGCCGTTCTCTGTCATGAATTGCCTCACGAACTTGGTAATGTTCCTGCAAATCATTAAGATTATATAAATATAATATACACACATGTAATAATTTAATAATCCGAGTGTTTTTATACAGGTGACTTTGCGGTGTTGCTAAGAGCGGGTATGAGTATTAAACAGGCTATTTTTTACAATGTGTTGTCTTCGGTGCTCTGTCTATTTGGCATGATATTCGGAGTATCGTTAGGAAGTACTCCAGCCGCAACTAATTGGCTATTTGCAGCAGCCGCTGGAATATTTATATACATAGCATTAGTAGATATGGTTGGTTTTTCAAATTAACAATTCTACAAATAACTTGAAAAATTTCAATAAGAAAACATCCTCATATATTTTATATCTTTTTCTCCTTAGATACCAGAATTATCATCGAGTCATTCCGCGGAAGGTGGTTCGCGAGGGCAGTGTATTTTGCAAGGTTTAGGGTTGTCGACAGGCCTTGGGATTATGTTACTTATCGCCGCCTACGAGCACGATCTTAAGCACATTTTCGATGACTAGATTTATGAGTAATTTCTCTTGTAATCATATTGTATCGATATTGCAAAATACATTTTTTCTTCCTATTACGTTCGAGTTACTATATTTTTCTTTCATTTAATGCCTAGCCGCTCTTTAGCGTTTAATGTTTGTAGTAAAAATAGGTTTTCTTCAAAATAATTACTATTTCTTAATTATTGATGTTTGAGAGAAAGAACGTAATGGGAAGGTTTATACAATTTAAATAGGGCGATGAAAAATATCTGATTTATAGAATTGTCAATGAAAGAAACAAAAGTGCAATTTTACAAGATTAAACTAATAATCGATTTGTCGAACAAATTGCAAATTAAAATTACTTCTTAACCATTTCACTAAAAATATTTTCAACATTAAAATTTTGTGAAATTAAGAAATTGTAAAATGCAGCAAGCATTCACATAAAGTTTTGAAATTGTCCAATAATCATATATAATTGCTAAAATACGTAAATATTAGACGATTTTAAAAACAACAATAGCAAATTTTCTTCTTTGCACAAAATTAATAATTATTTTAATTTAGGTTTTCATTAGTTCACATATATGTACTACTAGATGTACATCATACACAGATGAAAGTTGTACAAATTCTGTGTAAAATACACAGATTTATACATATATGTGACAATGATATTTAATATTTTCCATGAATTGTCCGATATAAGTGATAGTACATGACTATATTGTTAATTTGCAACAAATTTGTGATAATTTTGCATAACGAATACTAAATAATATATATATGTATGTATATACATATATACATATATATATCCATATCCTATCATACACATGTACATTTACATTATCACAAAAACCTGAATATGGTTTGATCATAGAAGAATTTTTGTCTCGTTATATTTTTTTATGGAAAAAAAGAGAGAAAAGTGCATTATGTAATAATATGAATGGAGTTGTCCAATGAATCAATATTGCTTAAGGAAGATATCTCCTATATGACAATATTTGAAATTTACATTTATGTAATTTACAATACACAAGTGTTATTTTTACCAAATATTAATAATAACGATAATAATAATAATAATAATTAATAATAATTTTATACATTGCATATTTAAAATATTAAAAAATATTCATTTTTTCTGATATTATTTTGATTTTATAAATTAGTCAAAATAATGTGCATTTAAAATGTATCATTGTAGAAAAAATTGTATGCTATAATTGTGTTGTTATGATATATTGACTTTTTAAAACTTATTGCTATTCTGTCGAAATTCCATTTATATATATTTTAAGTTTCTCTTGTATATCATTTGTGTACATCTATAGTATTGCATATCTAATAATGATGTTGTGTAATTATTTTTATAGGAAATGTAAACTTGTAAAAAGTGTTCTCTTTTACAATTTTGTTCGTATACAACTGCCACAGTTAAATTGCATTATCAAGATGTTATTGATAGCATAAGTTGCGTTTTATTAAATTAAAAGTTTCGATAATTTTGTTAACTAGTCTTTAAATGCTTCTATTTTTTACCTGTGTAATACTTGAAATAGTTAGATAATAGATTAATATCCTAGTAAGTATTCCCGTACGAGTATTAATAGTACTAAAATGGGTATATTTGACATGATTAAAAAAATGAAATTGAACAAAATGACTATGAAAATAATTAAGAGAAAATTTTTCTAATTTATTTATAGAAAAGATTTGAGAAAAATAGATAGAATTGATAGAAAATTTAGAGAAAATTTTTCTATTTTATTTATAGAAAATAGAAAGTTAATTGTTTTATTTGAATATTAATAGTAAAATTAAAAACTTAGTTTGTTTTCATTTCTTTAAATTAGATCATTAAAAATATATCTTCTGTATATTTTCTGTATATAAAAGGAATTAGAAATTTCTATTGTACAATAGAGTACGAATTATTTTTATAAATCTTGAGTTTTTTAATCACATTTGCCAATATATTGTTGATATCGTATTAATAATATCTACAACTACAATTGCTTATTAATAAATATATATTAAACTTTTTAAATTATATCCATATATGATGTCTTTTTAATTTCCTCAGATTATATACAAATATTAACAATTGATAGCATTCGATTGAAATGGTTATGTGAAAATAAATTATACTACTGTTGCTGAAGTCACTCTGTATTCGAGCGAGAAAATTTCGACACTATCACATGAGTATACTAAACAGGGAAAAGCATCTTAGCAAATTATCCCTGACATTTTGTATCAATCGAGCAACGATAAATTAGATGTCACAATTTGAAAATCACAGAAAAATATTTTGTCATACATTAACGAAATCATCCCGATCACTCATCTGTGCCGATAAACTGAACGCAGTGTCTGTACTAGTTTCACTATTCAAACTCTCGTTTGCAAAAGAAGGTTTTACATGAGCGGAGTCGTTCATTTCTCTCATCAAACCCGCCATATCGTCATCAGGATCGATTTCTTGCGCCTCGCCCACTACATCAATCTCCATCGATTGATTGTCAATCATTGACACTTCTCGAGTCGTAGGTTTCTCCTCCTCAAACTAAAAATAAATTATACATAAAATATATTTGGAAATAATTTGTTTCAAATAATCATAAAGACATTCAATTAATCATCTTTGTACCTTTACAGGCTCAAGTTTGCATGACGGCGGCAAGTTCATATGAAAGACACAATGAGAATCGAAAATAACAGGCACAGGTTCATGACACTCTACATCCGATCGTACCGCTCCGCATGCCTTGAACAAAACTTGATGTTGGTCCTGTTGTGATCATAGAATAAAAAATGATAGATTAAAATTACATAAATTATATAATCGCTTCTAAAACATAATATAAATATATATGCACATATACCTTTAGAATATGTTTGCGACAATGTTTAGCCGATGGAAGAGTTCTTTCGCCGCATTTCACGCCACCTTCAGTAAACACGCACTTGGACATATTTGGCGGTTTCTGAGTTGGTTCAGTTACCTGAAGCGTATTATTATTATTATTTTTGTTATGCAATTGATTCATATAAATAATGATATATTTATAACATATTACCTGTGCGCGACGTTCTAATGATTTCCTATAAAGTATTGCTTCAGCACCACTCCGTCTGTGATAGCGATTTAAAGCTTTCAACTTTTCGTAAAGTTTCTTTTCTTTCGCAGTTTCCTTAGTCTGATCATGTATACTACCTGCATATTTTTTAAATTTAAATTTTTTTCACTTATTGAAAAATATAACAATATTCTAACTTGAAGTTAGACTACTTACAAAACGTTTCCTTTTCTTTCTTCAGGGCAAGTAAATACTTTCGTCTTTTTTCCCTCAATATATATTGTAGCCTTCTAAATTGATCGATATAAAGGGATTGGAGCCTAATCAATTTTTCCCTTGCAATATAAACCACCTCCTCCGCAGTAAAAATACCGGCGTGCCTTAAAAAATTGATACTAACAATTGGGAGAGTAAGCAGTATCTTATCTTTGCGCAAAGCACAACTACAACGAAATTATATGAAAACAAACACGCGCACTTTTTATTTTGAAAAAATATAAAAAGCAGATGAGAAATTTAGTGGAGTTATAATAATGCAAGTTTGTGTAGGAATGCAAATAAAAAGTTATGACAATTAGTCTTAATCACACAAGTATTCTGTTATGTATACAATAAGAAAGGTATACAATATACAAAAGTATATTGTATACCTTTCTTTAAAATTATATTCTTTAAAAGTATATTGTATACCTTTCTTTAAAATTTATAAAGTTCTACAAATTAAAAAAAAAAAAAAATTAAAACTTAATTATTATCTTTTGATTCTGAAATTTTAATTTAAAATCGTGAAATGAGTATAATTTTTTAAATAATGATTTAGAGATTTTTATCATAAACTGTTAAAATAACAGAAACATTTTGAATTATAACATTTCAACTATTAATATTAAATACGCTTTAAAAAATCATAAATGTACATCATCAATATAATTTATAAATAGACTCGGACATTATGTATATAAATAGTAGAAATAATAAATATTTGTAAAAATTGCACAAGCTGAAGCATGCTAGCAAATATTCTAATGTGATACTGTCATTTTCAAAACAATTAACATGTAGTGTAGTTGAGGCATGTACTTACTTTAGGGGATCCTCTTGTGGACTGTGCAAACTCTCATTATCGCTATCATCAAGATAAACCCCTCTCAGAGTATCATTGACAACTGTAGGTTCGACGTCGCTCTCTGACGAACTGGCATAATCTAAGATGTCACTCCCACTTGCATTTACTCTGTAAGCATCAACTTCGGCTGAAAACAATAACTTGTTGATGTTTTCATTTAAGTTTGCAACTTTTAGCAGCATGCAAAATTATAAAATGTATAAACTTTTATATTCTGTAGAAAAAGTTGGTCACAAATGTTTTATAAAGTTAAGTATAAAGTGCTTTTGTAAAGTATTTATGTAAATGTAGTATAAGTGTAAAGTTTCTTTTGTAATAAACGAGTAAAAGCAAGTCTTAATAGAATTTTAAAAAATCAAGATATAAGTATAAGATATATAATAAAGATAATCAGTCTATCTATCAGTCTATCTAAAATCATATGGTGCTCACTGAAAGGATCTAAAGCTCTAATTTTTCCTCCTTCATCTTCTGTATCTTCCGCACTAGAATCGATAGGCTTGGCATAATGGCTCAAATTAAGCAGTAACATCTCAGGTGTTTGTGGTAAAGAGCGTCGTGACATTGACTTAATTCGCGCAATTTGCGCTTTTCTAGAATGTTCATTGCAATATCTGTGGAAATTAAATGTGCAAATGTGTTAATTTTTCTAAAAAGCAAAATTTACAATTCATATTTTATATAACATATTGTAAGAATATACTTACGAGATATCTCTCCTATCCAATTTTGGGGCTGGATTTTGACATTTCTTTCCATTGGTATTGTATACAAAAGCACACTGTTTGTAAGGTGCATTTGAATCTTCGAGAATATGCCTAGCGCAATACGAGTAACCCTCTAGACATGGTTGTGTGCATTCATAGGATGCATAAAGGCAACTTTGGATCTGTTTCGGACGCTTTGTAATTGTTGTTGTGGTAGACGTAGGCATTGTAGGCTTTGGTATCCGAAACATACCTTGTTACTATAATAAAATTATAATCAATTATAATTATATATAATCAATTCTAAATTAGTGAAATCTAATTTATAAAAAAATAGATGCGAAAAAGATATAAATTGAATTTATCTCGTATCATACAAAGTAATTGTAATACATATTTAGTTGTGTGCAAGTATATAAATTCCCATAAATGCTTTCTTTATGCATTATATGTTATTTCTAACATAATGAAAATCATTTATTGATATTAGTAAATATAGAGATAAAGATAAAATAGATAAAAAGATGTGAAACCAAGATTCGTAGATACATTTTTTTCAATTAGAAAGATTGAAAAAGTTGTACAGAATAATAAAAAAAGTAAATTGTAATTATAATTAACCTTATAAGATGTGCAACTTTAATTCTATCAAGTATAAACATTTAATTTTTTCAGATTACATCATTTAATTCCTCTTGTTGAGATTCCTTTAATGATTGTTATATAAATATACTTCTTATCTCTATTTTATCTTTATATTTACTAACCATAACTTTGGAATCGTCTTGGAGATAAAAGTAAAACACATGGAAAGATGGCATTTGTGACATTAGATTTTTCACATGATTCATGCAATACGTTGACACGTAATAAATATGCTCCAACAAATTACTTCAATAATAAATTATTAATTAATGACATTACATTATGATACATTATTAATTATATTATATTACGAGCGTGTTTATTCAATCGATGACAGATGTCTCTAAGGATCTATTTTGATGACTCGACATTATATTCTCGAAAAAAATATTGTAATTACCTCTTCTCACTCTGTAATAATCAATCTAATAATGTCTTATCAAACCGAAAGCTAGAGATTTTAAATTACGTATGTCGTCATATGTTGAAAAATATCAATGCGTATTGATAAAAGTACAGTGAAAATTAAAGACAAGTACACCCGCCATTTTACCGAGACATGTCGAAGGAAATTCATTTCTTTTTCATGAAAAATTGTCAAATTTGGAAAAGAAAACGTGGATAATCGTTAACTAGCATTATTATCTTCATCGGAATGCATAGAGATAATGGCGGCTTCCTAATGCGTGACTAATTCTTTCAACAATTAAAAGCAAATAAAACTTACTGTGCTCCGATAATAAAAAGAACCTTCGGTCAAAACTCTCACTCCTCTTTCTCTATCTTTCTCTCCACGAACATTGGTATTTCCCGATAGATCAAAAACACCGCCTAACCCATGCTATACAACGCCTGACGCTGCAAAGGTAAAGGTAGAGAGTGGGAAGGTTAAGCTGATCGTGAAACTAACGAAAGAGTAACCACAGAGAGTAACCAAGAAGAGGGGAGAGATTGGCAGTACTGAAAATCTATAATTTACGTCACGTATACTATAGATTTTCAATACTGGCAATTTATATCGGAACGCAGTCATAGGAGGAGTGTATACGTTGTTGTACTGGCAAGGAGCGAGAAGGAAAGAGCCGGCAAATGAAAAGGACCAAACAATGAGCCGGACTGACGACAATGTTACAATTTTATTCCTTCGAATAAAACGCAACTTACCTCAACTTACTACAGTTACATGTTACAGGTGCATATTTCTATTTGATATTATAAATATTATAAATATTAAATATTATAAATGTTAGATTATAAATATTTCAAAATAAATATTTAAAATTGATCCGAGAACAAGAAAACAATTAGTCAATAACACACACAAACACACACAAACACACACACACACACACAATGCTTTATCAAAAATATTTATTTAAATATATTTTTTATGAAATATTTTGTTTATAAATGTTATAACATGTATGTATATAATATTATTTCATTACAAAAAACACACTTTAAATTTATATAATTTATTATTTACATACAGGATGTTTCTAAAACTATGTCGGAGATTTTAAGGGCGTAAAATCTCCGACATAGTTTTAGAAACACCCTGTATATAATAAAGTTTGTTGGATTAATAAATTAAATGTTTGCAAAAAATAATATAGAAAACCGTTGAAAATAAAACTAAACTAAAGTTTCGAAAGTTATGTAAAAATAGAAAATCTCAAAATATCTCTTCTTATTCTTTTCCTTCAATAGAACGGTTTTAATAATACAGAGTCGTAAAGCGAAATAGATAACAATAAGAAACCGGTACCTTTGTCAATCTTTAACTTGAAACAGCAAATTCATCTTTCATTTATTTATTTTTCGAAAACTCATAAATCTTCCCAACAGTTCGTCGAAGAGAAAGCTAGGCAAGAATAAGACCGAATAAAAAAAAATACATATACATAATATACATATAAATATTACTACAATACATATAAATATAATTATTATAAATATGTACTAGACATATACATATCCGCGAATACATATGCATATGTTATTAATAATTTAATTTATTAATTTATTTATTCAAAAAAACTTTATTATATAAATAGAGATAATAGATTTATATAAATTTGAAGTGTACTTTTTTGTAATGAAACAATCGTATACACACATATATTTTATAAAAAATGCATATTAAAGAACAGAAACATATTAAAGAAATGTGTATTTATCTTAGAAGCGTTTATGTGTGTGCGTGTTAATGTGCTCTCTCTCATTAAGCAAATGGTATTTCTTGAAAAAAAATTAATTGAAATAATCTAAACAATTTTGTTGCTACGATTTAAGGAAACTAAGTTTTTACAAACAGAGAGAGAAAGAGAGAGAGAGCTGTTCTTTAGACGAATATATACGTGTTCGTAATTTATGCGGAATATACAGCTACGGACATTACCTGCTCACAGACATATGTTTTCTTATTGTAAGCTATAGAAAGAACCTTTTTCAACGATCATTAAGTGAATTTTCTTTTCTTCTTAATGGTTTTCTTTCTTAACGTTCCTGGATTATTGTTAGGAATTATTAAAAATCCTTAAAAATAGGAATACGTCCACCTTGACTTGTCTCGAACTGTAAAGTTCTTTCTTGCAATACCTTCTTTCCTATAAAATAAAAAATGCAATGACGAATACGATAAAGCGAAAATTTTAATAAAACTGTATTTGCCGGACTGAGTTGACAAGTAGAATGATTAGAGCAAATATGTAAAGATAAGAGCTGATATTAATATTTTATTTAATATTTAAATGTATGCAACAACGAAAAAACAAAAATAATTTTTAAACATAAAACAAGTAAAGGGTCTCCGGGAAACATGATGACGTCTAAAAATGTCTTAATGACATATTAATGACATATTATATGTCATTAAAACGTTATTAAGATATCTTTCGACGTTATCATGTTTACTGAGTCGAACGATACCCTTTAAATGATATCCTGCATACATTACTAATGTGTCATTACAAACATTCATAAACCCTTTCGAAGGAACGCATGATTTTTTGAATTTTGTCTTACAAGAAACAGAATCAAAACGTTCAAATTTTATTGTATAATTAAATTTTTGAGGCAATTTTTTTCCATGTTTTATATCTCTTATTTTCTACGCCTGACTTTTTGTTAATCCGTTATTATATTTATTTTACATCGTATTATTAGAGTCATATCTACGTTTTTAATTTATATATATTTTTAGACAAATCATAAAAAAGATTAAATATTAAATGAATATTATAATCGTAGGAGAAAAAATGTGTTAATAATGATGAAAATGAGTAAATAATGTATGTATTTAATATAAAATTTATTTTATAATATGCCGAGTCCACAGACTTGTAAAAATAGACCGCGCATCCCTGTACAAAAGACCGTCTTAAACATTAAAAAAAGAGAGTGATAGCGGTTAAATCTCTTTCTCTCTCGTATTTCATAATTTTTCTGTTTATTCTCCTCCTCCAATCGTGACATTCTCTCTCCTTCAATGGTACGAGAGAAAAAGAGATCTGATCACTATCACTCTCTCTTTCTGAAGTATAAGATAGTCTTTTATACAGGAATCCGTCGTTTCCACAGTCTTACAAACAGCTTTTGAAACTTCGGTGGTAGGGGAGGTTTCACTTATTGTTAGTGTGTCCGTTTTTCGGGAGTTCACGGCTTACCTGCTAGGTTTGCTGCGATCTAAAAGTCGCAATGAGAGCGAGAGAGACAGAGATAAAAGGCAGTAGTCGGTCTCTCTCTAACATACGTCTCGCATTGCGACTTCTAGATCGCAGCGAACCTAGCAGGCAAACTGTGAATTCCTAAAAAAACGGACACACAAAGTGAGACTTCCCCCACCACTAAAAAATGCCTGAGTTTAAACCTGTTTTCTAAAAGTCTATAGCTGGATTCTGAAAATTCCGATGTTATTTAACCTTGAGCGTAACCAAGAGCTCTTAAGGTTAACTTTAAAATTTTTAATGAAAATTTCCAATTTTTATTCAATATTCCTATTGTAGCTTATCTCGAGAGCAAAACACTATAATTAAGTTATTTTTCATTAAATACTTTTCGAGTTATGAGGCTTGAAATAATTTCTTAATTTTGTATAAACTATAAAAAATCTAATAAAATATTCATTTTTCGATTATCTTACCTTAATACTTTTATGAACAAAATAATGAGAGGAATCAATTGGTGTAAAGAAAATACATAATTATTTGTAAAAAAATATATAATTTGCAATTAACAATTATCTATTGTTTCTTAGAAACAACTATGTATTTTTTCTCTACACCAATTGATTCCTCATATTATTTTGTATAAAAGTATTAAGGTAAGATAATCAAAAAATGAATATTTTATTAGATATTTTATGATTTATACAAAATTAAGAAATTATTTGAAGCCTTGTAACTTAAAAAGTACTTGATGAAAAATAACTTAATTATAGTGTTTTGGAAAGCTCTCGAGATAAGCTATAAAAATATTGAATAAAAATTGGAGATTTTCATTAAAAATTTTAAAGTTAACTCTGAAAGCTCTTCGATGGTAACGCTCAAGATCAAATAAGTTTTACTATTTGATGCACGTGCTGAAACTCAATGATTTTTATGTAAAACATTTTTCTAAATTGTTTCGTTTTCAAGATATTTTATCAATCCGGTATTTTTTGCGCATCCTGTATATCAAAAATTAATAAATTTAATACATTTTGAGATTTATGAATTAGACATTGCGCAATATACACTCTGTTAATCTTTTAAAATATAAAATTAATAACTAATTTGTGAATTAAAGTAGAGATTTTTCTTCTATATTAAAATTTTCATTTTCATGAATTTTTGCATCGTAAAGTTAAAATTATAATATAATCATTATAAAAAAATTAATTCGATATAAGATAATATTTGCGGTTTTCTCAGATAAAATATTATATTCTACAAGACAAATATTTACCTTAACTCACAAAAATTAATTATTAATTATTAATTATTAATTATTCTTAATCTAAGGTATTAAATTTATTAACTTTTAACGCATTCTCCCCGTCCAGTTTCTTTAAGAATGTACTTTACATATTTTTTAACGGACATGTTACAAACAAAATCTATTCGATATTTAAGAAGGAACATTTATATATTTTAATTGAGAAGCGTTGTGTGTGTGTGCGTGTGTGTATGTGTGTGCACGCATGTAAAAGATGTTCATGTTAGATTTTGAAATTTTCCATTAGATGAAATAATAAAAGGCTGGCATGTTCTTATTGGTTCAGAAAAATCAGTAACGTATCGAAGTCTTCCGAGGGTATCATTTGGGCCCTTATTGTCTCTCTTTTTTTTGAAATCTTTAAAAAATTGTTATTTTTCTTAATTTTTGGCTATTTACACAAATATTTAAGCAACTAATATATTACTATTAACTCTTATCTTTACATACTTATTTTAACCATTTTAATCTGTCGATTTTGACGGATATAATCGCTCTAATAACATACATACGTCGTATACATCACTGATTAAGCCTTTAAGGTGAGGGAAAAACTTCCACCTTCCACTCTTGGAGCAGACATCGTGTGGATAGGACCAGGTTTCTATAAGTGCACAATTTTGTCTGAGTTTTTAGCTTGCTTTATCGATTTGTGAAAAATCTTTATTTCTTCGAGGATTTTCGAGGGTGAGTTTTAAAAAAAATTATATATATATATATTTATATAAAAAATGAATTAAATGCAATACATACACTTGAAGCGAATTGAATATAATGTAACAAATCAAACGTACAATTTTTAGTGAAATCTTTACAAAATTGATCTTGTGCTTTTTCCGTTTTTTGTTTGCAACTTCTAAATATGTAAATTATTTTTAATAAATTATTCTTAGTTCAATTATAAGAAACAAACTTTTCTTATTATTAATTTAATTTTTACAATACATTACTTTTAAAATCAATAACTAATAAATTATTTTAATTATTAATTAATTATATATAAATTATATATAAATCGCTACATGTGTATGTGATTTCATTTTTCATTTTTTACTACACGTGGTTGATAGTTACCGATTCGAGATGCAACGTAGTGGAGGGAGCACACAAGTGAAAAAATTGATCTTGTGCTTTTTCTTATTCTTTGTCTGCAACTTCTAAAAATATGTAAATTCTTTTTAATAAATTATTTTTAGTTCAACTTCAATACATTACTTTTAAAATCAATAACTAATAAATTATTTTAATTATTAATTAATTATATATAAATTATATATAAATTATATATAAATCGCTACATGTGTATGTGATTTCATTTTTCATTTTTTACTACACGCGGTGGATAATTACCGATTCGAGATGCAACGTAGTGGAGGGGATAAGCACACAAACGAAAATCACTTGTGTGCTTATATCTCTTTGTGTGCTTGTATCCCTTCCACTACGTTGCTGGTTGCTAAGGAAAGCATTCTGGCATCACTGGTTGCCACCTAACAACACATACAAAAGATGTACGTACAAAAGAGTCGTGTCATGGATACACGGATATGGCTCTTTCTTTGTGCGAGCTACCTCCTTTATATGTGTTACTAGGTAGCAGCGTTTCGAAGTATCCTAGTTTGATATAGAAATGTCTTTGTTTTCGATATATGATACATATTTTTGAGCCTAATATGTGTGCATGTATATGTCGTAATATATAATAAACAAATTAACATACCATTTTTAATAAAATGTTCATATAATTTGAAATCTTTAATGGCCGATTTTGCTAACCACGTTTAACTTTAATCTTAGTTTAATCTTATATTTTAGCTTTAAGCGAGACTTAAATATATGTCTATCTTTATCTTTCTTTCTAAATAAATAAAGAGAGACAAATATTTAAGTTTCGCTTAAAGCTAAAGTAATGTTGGTGCAACCGGGCATTAGTCACTCTTTTGGCCGTTTCTCTTAACTTATTCTTTGTCTCTTTCTAAAGGAACAGTTAGAAGGAGACAAAGAATTAAGCTAAGATTAAAGTTAAACGATGTTGGTAGAAACGGTCATTTGTCAACTGTTCCTTTAGAAAAAGAAATCGGTAAAATCAGGCATAAGTGATTTATGATATTCGATTCGCTAGAATATTTAAAAAATATGTATAGAAAGAAATATTTCTCTTATTAATTTTTTTTTGTTTCACTATTTTTTAACAATAACTAATTATTTAACTAATTATTTAATTAATTATTTAACTAATTATTTAACTAATTATTTTTATTTTGTTTTGTTCAGCAGCGTTCTCATGTTCAGGTATTTATAACATAAAAATGGTTTTTCGGATTTTATTATTTAAATATTTTCGAGTACGATATATCTCTAAAATATTAACGGATTATAAATTACCTTTGAGATTATAATCGATGATTTTATAAAGAATAATTAGAAAGTATCAAATTTTTTCACTAACAATATTTATCCGGTCTAAAATTGTCTTCAAACATTTCCGATGAATACACGAGGTATCAGAAATTCGTTGCAAACCAACATCACTGAACATGCGTACAGACTGTCGTCGGGTAGACGCTTAGAAGCCTTTTGTTTGACCAATCGGGACAAAAAGAGTAAAGATTCTTTAACCTGATTGGTTATTCGAACGCTTCAAAGTATCCAGAGCGTTTTCTCGATCGTAGCCATAGAAGACCACGTAGAGTACCACTGCTCAGTCCAATCAGAGATCCGATTAGTTGTCTTCTTCTTTCTTTAATTTGAATGGTCCCTAATTCCCAAATGGAATATAAGATACTGGCCAAAAATTGGTATACGGTGCCATTGTCGAACGGTGCTACTGTCGAAGCCCTCGAGAGAGGGAGAAACTCAAAAATTTTATTAAAACAAAAATCACGCGAAGAACGCGCAGGAACACGTCCTCTCCTGTCTAAAGGCGGTAACAGATTCTCCGATTAGTTGTAAACATCCTCGGCCTTTGGTTTGATTGGTCCATGTTTCTATGTAAATTTACCTGAACATGAGAATATCCCTTTATAATGGGTCTGTTCGTTTTAGCTGCACTGCTGCACTATAGTGCAATTAGTTAGAGTGAAAGAAAGTATGTTTGTCTCTTTCTAACTTATTGCACTAGTGCAGCTAAAACGAACAGACCCAATATTCGTGAAATTTGTCGAATAGTCTACGGACACGTCGGAAAGCGCTCCTTCGAGTGGCGACGAAACCCGAGTCGGAGGACTCGCGGGGACGAACATTCCTAAAAGAAGGGAAGGAAAAGGAGAAGGAGAAGGAGGAGAAGGACAACGACGACAACGACGTAATCTCCAGGACCAGGGTCTCGACGATACGCTCGTCCATGGGTTACGCAACATGTAACGCGACCGATACACCTTCCATCATCAGCGTTACGTTGTCACGTCGGGGTTGCAGGAATGAGAGCTCGATGACGATGCGCCTTTTCGAAGCGCTGCCGAGGTTATGAGAGTGCATCCCGCATCCCGACCATCGCCAGGGGATTTCGCGTGCTTCGCGTCGCGTTCGTTCCACAGTGTTCCGAACTCATAAACATAGTACTTGTACTCTACACCGCGTGCGTTCGCGAGAGAACCGCGAGAGCCAAGTGACACGGAGTGACAAGTTGGTGACGATCTCGGGATTTCCATCCGTCGAACTCGGTCCCTGGGGGCCTGTCGCGTGGTGTGAAACTCGGGAATAGACATCATTTCGTGAGAAAAAGGTCGCCCCCGTAAACCCAGACCCCTCTCTCGCGAAGGACAGACTCTCCGAGTGTTTACGTTATCGAGTGTTATCGTGTTCGCACCAGGGCGCCATTTTCGATCGCTCGAGCGAGCGACGTGACTCTAGTCGGCGAGAGACGTGACCGTAGCGGTGCGCGTGTCGAGTATTTGAGACTCGGAACTTCGAGACTCGGAGCTCCCCTCGCCGCGTCCCCCATTCCCCCCTCCCCCGGCTGTCCCCGCGATCGCGTGTGAATCGTGCGTGCATCGTTTACTCGATCTCGGGTGAATTGTGTGTACATATAAATGGCGGCTGACGAACGATGGTACTTTACGAGAGAGCAGCTTGCAAACACGCCGAGCAGGAGGTTCGGCATCGACGCCGACAAGGAGCTGAGCTATCGGCAGCAGGCGGCCAACTTCATTCAGGACATGGGACAAAGACTTGTGGTGTATCCTTTTTTTATTGCGCGCAAACGTGCGTTTTTTACTCGCGCCTCTTCCCACTCGCTTCCCTCTCGTCCGCCTCGCTTCCCTCGCTGGGGATCGTTTCGCGGACAACATTTACCGTCCTTAATTTAATGATCGATGCTGCATATCAGATTAAAGGCGCGTCGCGTTTCCGCAAATCCACGTGTCGGGTGATCTCTTGACACGATGAATCGACGACGTGCGGGAACACTGGAGTTCACCATATTGGAATTTCTGCATTTCAGGTATCGTAAATGATCATTCGTGCAAATTTCTACGACGACGGGAAGGAAATTTAATTCGCATTGAAAGGAAATTAATTGAGGACACGAGATCCGACTCTACCCTCGATAGATATGTGTGGAATAGAGTAATGGGGAATATCGATTGATAAAGATCAATCTATTTTTGTTCTCATAATGATTCTCCCTATTATGAGTAACATTTCATAGTACAATTCATGATATAAACTAAATATATAAATATAAACTAAATTTTATATATATTTATTAATATTTTCATGCTACTCGAATATCTCGTGCTGTCACGCTACAAAGATTTAAATTTTTGCTTCGTAGGCATGCTTATTAGAGAAACGTCAAATGTTATTTGGGTTTTAACGTAGTGCTATCTTTAAAGGTCGTTATGCAATGTCTGAAGATTTGAAAATATATGAAAAATCTATTTATTTTTATTTGAAACTTTTTATGATCAGTTTTTACCACTTTTTACAATACGTACAAAGTTTAATTATATTTGTTTTCCTACATCATGCAAAAAGTGGTTGTCCTTTTTCAATATATTTATTAATTTAATAAAAATATTAAATATATATTAAAGATCTTATTTCTTTGTGCTTTGAATTTCCTTTCTGGTTATATACTAATGATATATATTAATAATATTTCAGTAAATTTCAGAATTATTATAGAATCCCCTATCCTAAATTGAATTATCATTAAGAAAAAGTATAAAATTGTTGACACAAATCATAAAATTGTGATAAATAATAAAACTAAATAAATAAATGTGTGATAAATAATAAAACTAAATAAAACTAAATAAATTTATATCTATTGTATTCTATACCTTTAATTTTACTATTTAAACTAATTTTATCGTACTTTAAATAACATAGAGAAAGAAATATAATTTTTATTATTATAAAATACATTAATTACATTTATTATTATAAATATATTTTTTATTATTTTTATTTCTCTTTCCAAGTTTGAAAACAAGATACCTGAAAAATGTTTTTTTTTGTTTTTTTTTTTTTTTCGCCTTTCCTTTCTGAAACAACATCCTTTTATTAAAATACAATTAAATAATTTTAATTATTATTAATAATTATACAGTTTTATTAATTATGTTTCTATATTTTATCAATTATTTTGTACTTTAAATAACAAAGTGACAAAAATATAATTTACATTTTTTATTATTTTTATTTCTCTTTTCAAGTTTGAAAACAAGGTCCCTGAAAAAATGTGGTTTTTTTCCCCTCAAGTTTAGAATATCCTTTTATTAAAATTATACAATTAAACAAATTATTTTAATTATTATTAAAATTATACAATTTTATTAATTATGTTTCTATATTCTATCAATTATTTTGTACTTTAAATAACAAAGTGATAAAAATATAATTTACATTTTTTATTATTTTTATTTCTTTTTTCAAGTTTGAAAACAAGGTCCCTGAAAAAATGTGGTTTTTTTCCCCTCAAGTTTAGAATATCCTTTTAATAAAATTATACAATTAAACAAATTATTTTAATTATTATTAAAATTATACAATTTTATTAATTATGTTTCTATATTCTATCAATTATTTTGTATTTTAAATAACAAAGTGATAAAAATATAATTTACATTTTTTATTATTTTTATTTCTCTTTTCAAGTTTGAAAACAAGGTCCCTGAAAAAATGTGGTTTTTTTTCCCCTCAAGTTGAGAATATCCTTTTATTAAAATTAAACAAATTATTTTAATTATTAAAATTATACAATTTTATTAATTATATTTCTATATTTTATCCATTTTCGCAGAGGTGGTACTGTGAATTGAAAATACTATTATATATTTTTAGTAAATTTTATATATTAAACTATACGAAATAATGATCATTTACGATACCTAGCAATGTAAAGGCTTTTAAATATTCTTATAAAAATATTTTATTATTGTAATATAATATATATGTAGAATTTTGCGCAGAGAAAAGATATTGCATAATATTTTATTCAATATATTGATACAATGTCGTATATTCAATGTAAATATTATACTTTGTACTTATGTTTGGTTCTATTGTGTTAAGAATTGTCATAATATCTTTTTTATTTATATATTTTTATTATGTAAAGTTGTCCTAAGAAAGAGATACACAAAGATTATTTTTTATTAACTATATAATATTTTAGGACTACTATAGTTTTTAACTAATAGTTAAGATAATTTAAAATTATATGAATGTAATTTTGAACAATATTTAATATATAGAGATGGTAAATGTTGTCATAATATTATATTTAACATGATTATATATAAATTGTTTGATATTAGACCTACTATATGATTTTATAATACTTCCATAAAAAAAAAATTCTAACAATTTTCAACTTCTACAAATTTTATTTTAAAAATGGAGTATTTTCCTCAAGTTATGAAAATATATAGGTCGCAATTATGTATCAACACAGCTATAGTTTACATGCACAGGTTCTATGTGTTCCATTCGCTAACCCAGTTCCACAGGAATGCTATTGCTGTGGCGTCACTTTTTTTAGCGGCAAAAGTAGAAGAACAGCCAAGGAAATTAGAACATGTCATCAAAATGGCTTACATGTGTCTTCACAGAGAGCAAGCACCACCTGACAGTAGGTCCGATGTAAGTTTCAAGAACAATAAAGTAGTAAGTAAATATAAATTCCAATTTATAATTAAATCATACAGTTCATCTATTTTTAATATTTGTATCTTAGAACGATACATTTTTACATTTACAGCAATTTCTTGAACAGGCTCAAGATTTGGTGTTCAATGAAAATGTTCTCCTACAAACATTAGGATTTGATGTTGCCATTGATCATCCACACACTCATGTTGTTAGATGTTGTCAACTGGTAAAAGGTACATATTAAATTTTGGTATCATTGTAGCATCTCATTTTTCAATTATATTAAATTGTATTTTTTTTATCTCAGCAAGCAAAGAACTGGCTCAAACTTCATATTTCATGGCATCTAATAGGTAAATGTTTTAGAAATATTAATTTTTCTAATATTTTTAAAGCCATCGCACATATCATCCATCATAAGCATTTATATTTTAATTCGCATATCCGTTAAATAATAATCTATAATATCCATAATAATCTATTATAATTACAAATTATGTATTATTTTTTTCATATAAATATATTTCTTTTCAGTTTACACTTGACAACAATGTGTCTGCAATATAAGCCCACAGTTGTTGCTTGCTTTTGCATACATCTTGCATGTAAATGGTCTAATTGGGAGGTAAGAGAGTTATACATTCCATAAATATTTATGTAATCATTTTTATATGTCATGCTGAATATCTGAAAATAATGAGAATGAAAATTGCAATGTAATTAATTTCATATTCGTTATGGATATCTTTATCAACTTGTCAATTTATGTCTGTTTTAATTTTTCTCGCATTATATCAATTTGTATGATCTTCTAATAAGTATTTATTTTTTTTATGCACAGATACCCCAAAGTACCGAAGGAAGACAATGGTTCTGGTATGTAGATAAGACTGTAACTGCAGATTTACTTCAAGAACTCACAGACGAATTCTTACACATATTTGACAAGTGCCCCTCAAGATTGAAAAGGAAAATTATGAGTATTTCCGCAAGTCAGAGCCCAAGCATTCATCATCCAAGTCTCCCAAATTCCCCATTTGTAAGTAACTCATACATAAGATTCTATGAAACAATCACACGTTTTTTTCTTGTTCAATCTCTTGCTTCTGTCATGAATTAAATATTTTTCTAGTCCAGTATTCCATGGCTAGAGTTTAACTCGCTTCTTTTTTCCGACAGGATACCGAACCACGTAGAGTACAATCTCCGGCAGTACCAACGGACAGTGCTACTGCTGCCGCCGTCGCTCATTTAATTCGTTCTCATCATTCGGTGGATAATACTGCTCCTGCTGCCGCTCATTCAAATCGATCCCATCATACAACAGACAATGTAGCTTCTACTTCTACCGCTACCGCCTCTGTTGCTGCTGTCGCTCATTCGAGTCGGTCTCATCATACGACGGACGGTGCCGTCGCTCATTCAAGTCGTTCTCATCATACGACAGATGGTACTGTCGCAGTCGGTCATTCAAGTCGTTCGCATCACACGCAGCAGGAAAAACAGGATGAGAAGAAAATTGGGACCGTTGCAGGACTATCGACATCAAGGGCGGCGATAGATTATCGAGAGTATCGTGAAAAGAAGGAACGTGAACGTTTGGAACGGGAAAAGGCGGCGACAATTGGATCCCATATCGCCGATCCTAACAAACCTCCTCATCATTCGCACCATCACAAGCCCATGTCGAACGTAAGCATCCCGAGTAAGCATCAGATACCAGTGCAAAAGACGAATCTTCATCATAATCATCATCATCGACCGGATATGAAGGTCGGTCAACCAGTGCCACAGAGACATTCCGCTAGTGGTCATCCTAATCGCGATCCTAATAGACAACGATTATCGAGAGAACATAATACTGGTGTAACTGGCACAAGCGCTAGTATTGTGCATTCGTCACATGCTCACGTTAATTTAGAAAGTTCCTCGTCCGAGTCTGTGTCTCATCGATCGGACGCCAGCAGCGTTACGCAAGAGTCGGGATATGGTACTTCACAAGAGAAGATAAGTAACAACAATCACAGTGGACATAGACTGAACGCACTTGATAGTAAACATCAAGCGCACGACAAGAGATTATACCGAGAAGATCCGCGACTCAAATCTGCCAAATATCCAGATATAAATAAAATCGAGAATCAACGACGAAAAACAGAAACGTTAGAACAAAGATGCGAGGAAGTGCGAAAGCTAATCGAGAAACCGTTGCCGCCGCCGAAGCAAGCGGACATGCCATACCTAATGAATGCGCAACAGAAACAACAGGCGCATCATTCCAAATATAATCAACAGCAAGACAAATCTCAAAATAGCTCATTCACGGCCGATACAAAGCATGTGACGACGATCGGTCAGAATGCGCTTTCTCAGGATGTATCGCCGAGTGCTTCGTCGTCACAGATGGCTCAAAAGTCTGCACCTAAGGCACAAATATACAATCAACATACCGCGCAAGGTGTATCCCAGATTCTCAAGGACACCATCAAAAATGGCAATTCCCAATCCTGTCTGAATTTGAATAACATGGATGATCCGAAATCGGAGAAACGACCACGAACGATCGCGCACGAGGATCCTACGGAGAGAAATTCTATCGACGTGCAGCAGAGTTCGCACTTACATACACCGCCTAGCAAGCATAGGTCACTCTTCAGTCCAGAGACGCCAACCACGCCTAGAGAATCGCATGTTCAAAGTAGCGCGAGGCCTAAATCAAAGCAAAAGATGCCACTCTCCGCAACCACGAAAGTGAAAGAACGCGTGTCACCGTTTGCAAATTCTCCGACTTCGCAAGATACGTCAGCGATGAAACGTTCATCTTCCAGCGATGGAATGACGTTCGCACATAAGAGATCTCGTACGTCGAGCATTGGTGAGAACGAACAGCCCGTGAAAATTAAAACAGAGATAAAGACGGAAGATACATCCGGTCTGGAAGCGATGAAAATGTTTAGTCGCGTACCTGATCTGATACAACCAATACGCGACAATAACAGAAGTAGCAGCGCATCGTCTGTCATTAATGATCTGAAGCCCCCGGAACTCATAAAACCGTTCGAATCGGATCCGCCGCGTTTTAATGCGATCGCGCAACAGAAAACCTCATCTCTTAACGTGCACGCCCTGACAAATGGTATGGATCTTAACGTAGAACAGGAATTTCCGGAACATCGCGTGAAAAAAGAGGCCTTGGAGTATTATAAGAAGAAGGAACAACCCAGGCTTTCGGAATTGCCGCTGCATTCTCACTTGCAACCGAAAGTCGAATATTCATCGCCGATCAAATCCGCACAAAGTATAAGTGCGTTACTCCAAGAACCATTGGCACCGATGCCATCGCTGTTGCAGAATCTGCAACAAATTAGTAGTCAAGTATCCTGTCAGCAAGGGCATCAGGAACAATTACAACAGCATCAGCAACAACCTATTCATCATTCGTTGACGGATCATCAGCTAACAGTGACAACTCCTTGCCTGTCTATACCCACTGTGAGCGATACTTTCACGTCAATAGCCTCGACAGTTGATATCAGTGTTTTTTCCGATAGTATGCCAATGATGCTATCAAATAGTAACAACAATATGACGGAACCAACAACCTCCGAATTGGTTCACACAGTGACGATAGTTCCTTCGACCGAAGAGAAGCGGTCTGAACACCACAAGAGTGAGAAGAAAAAGAAAAAGGAAAAGCACAAGCACAAAGATAGAGAGAAGAGTAAGGAGAAACATAAGCACAAACACAAGGACAAGGTTAAAGAGAGGCATCGGGAGAAAAAAGAGAGGAACGAGGAAACACCGGCGGCGGCGCCCATCAGGATCACGATCCCGAAGGACAAGTTGAACCTAAGCACGGAAACATCGTCGAGTATGCTTAGTACAAGTTCCAACTCGTTGGAAAATAAGAACATATCGCCGCAGGGCACGGGTTTGAAGATCAAAATTCCAAAGGAACGACTCAAGGGCACCGACAATGTGCCTAATTCACCCGCGCAGCTGCCGATGGTGCAGGGTTCGTTAAAGATCAAAATACGTAAACCAAATACCGACGGTATTTCCAGGAGTTCCGCGCCGCTGCCGCCGCCATCGTCGACAAACGGTTCGAGCTCTGCCCAATTTTCTTCCGAATCATCTACGAACGAACCGGCGACGCGGAAGCGTTGCATCGAGATGACCGGCAACAGTTCGGTGACCCCCTGTAGCGGTCCCCCGCTACCTACGACAAAGAAGCAGACGATGATGATACCCGCGACGAGTTACAGCCAAAGCCATCGACCTGGAGAAAGGCAGAACGGCAGACATTATAACTCCGGCAGCAATAATAAGGTACGTGGTAGAGGCGGCCGTCAGCATTACGACGGCCGCGGTCCTCCGCCACCACCACATCACGCGGCTGCCGGTCAGCGCGGTAGCGTAGGTGGTCACTACCAGCGTGACAAATACGATAATGGCCGTGGTAGCCGCGATCATCAACATCATCAGGCTCCCTATTCCCATCAATCCCATCACCCTTCGGCCGGGGTGCGCGGTGATGTTCGCGGGACTGCTGGCTACATCGATCAAGCCGCAGAATATTTTTACGCCAACTATCCAGCGTCGATACACTTTGGTGCACCCGCTAGGTACATGTACGATCCTGCGTATCAGCAATACTACCAGCAACAATTTCAGCAATCGCAGTATCCAATGTACCCAGCGGGGAGTGCCCTGATAGTGACACCGGACGGCGGTACGATTAACACGTCGATGCCGCCGCCGTCCTTACTTCCGAATCTCTATCAGAATCGGCAAAATGTAGGGCACCATTCTCAATCGGCCGCTCGGCAGGATGATGCGCAGTTGCTGCCTCCACCGCCGCTTGAACCGCCACCATCTCCACCACCTCTGCCGAGCGGACCGCCGCCCCCGCCTCCTCCTCCCCCACCCCCCACCCATATGCCGGAGTAAAATATTTTTACTTCGTCAAAGATTTTTATATCGTTCGGCACGAGAAACGATATATGTATATATGTATAATAAAAGAAATATATAATTAGGGAACGTAATTAAAATATAAATATAATTAGGCATCAAATGAAATATAATTAGGTATTAAATTGCCTAAAATAATATATTCTGTTACGTCTTTTTATAATTAGTTTATTTGTGATTAGGAAAGTACATGTCCCTGTGATAATATTGTGAGTCGGATATAAAGAAAAAAATAGTAGGTTGTTATAATTGGGACGCAGAAAAGAATCTGAATTTGAACATCAGATATGATAAAATTGATTAGCGACATATCTTTCATAATTTCGATGAAACTCAAAGAAAAAAATGTTCATAAAAGTGGAAGGCAAATCGACAATCGCACATGTACACATTTTCATTCGACAGAAATATTTTTCTTTTTTTCTATATTTTTTTTTTGTATATTATTCCTATGGAATTTTCTTTATATATATATATATATATATATATATATATATATATATATATATTTATTTATTTGCCGCCGCCGTCTTTTTACTCCCGAATCATCTCTATCAGCGTGACAATTACGATAATGACCGTGGTAGCCGCGATCATCAACATCATCAGGCTCCTTATTCCCATCAATCCCATCACCCTTCGGCCGGGGTGCGCGGTGACGTTCGCGGGACTGCTGGCTACATCGACCAAGCCGCAGAATATTTTTACGCCAACTATCCAGCGTCGATGTACTTTGGTGCACCCGCTGGGTACATGTACGATCCTGCGTATCAGTAACACTACCAGCAACAATTTCAGCAATCGCAGTATCCAATGTACCCAGCGGGGAACGCCCTGATAGTGACACCGATCAAATCCGCGCAAAGTATAAATGCATTACTTCAAGAACCATTGGCACCGGCGGTACGATTAACACGTCGATGTCGCCGCCGTCCTTACTCCCGAATCTCTATCAGAATCGGCAAAATGTAGGGCACCACTCTCAATCGGCCGCGATCATCATCATCAAACTCCTCATCATTCCCATCACCATTCGGCCGCGTTCGCGGTAATATTCGCGGACCGGAAATATAATGCACCACACTCAATCGGCCGTTCGGCAAGATAATGATATGTATGTATATATTTTATATATACATCACATTCGATAAAAAGAAATGTATCTCTATTTACAGTGATTGTGTCGTATTGTGTGATTTTTCATCATCATGTCGATGTGCCTTCTATCTTATACTATGAACAATTTTCTCCCATTTTTTTGAAATTAATGAAGATATTTATACGGGGATGTTTATGTTAAAATAATGCGAATATTTATTTTGCAAAGGTAAAAAAAGTCCCCCGCGATCTCTGAACGATACTTTTTTTTTCTTTTAGCATTTTCGACTAACAATAAGTGAATTGCTCTGGAAGCAATTAATTTTTGTATAAATTTTTATTGGACTGAAGAAATATATAATAAAGAGATATACATTTAAAAAATGTATATATATACATATACGTGTACATATATATTTTTTTTATATTTGCGAGTTGAGACCTTACGCGAGACTGTTACTGATCGTTAATCATTTTCAGAGCTATCCAAAGTCAAGCGAAAACGCTATTAATATTTTCTTTTCTCTTCAAGTTTATGAAATAGTTTGGTAGAAATAGTAGCATGTGACACTATTGTATATTACTTTTTATTACATATAACTGCTTCTGTCTATTTTCTCACTCCTTTTTGTACATGTAGCATATTCCATAGAACCTTAGTTGGCATTTCATTTCAATATTTTAATTCCGTCGTAATAAAACTATCATCAATTCGACATCAATTTGTTGGTATCGTAACAATGTCAACTCAATTATGCAATTAGTGTGTTTGGAAACCTATGAAAAAATTTAACGTACATAAATATCAGTTGGTATTGTGTGGAAACAACTATTCAATCTTTGATAACATACGACCAATTTCATATAAGCATTACATAAGTGAAGCTAAAGTTAAATATCTATAGGAATATACATAATGATAGAAATTATTAATATTGTAATCATTCAACGTGGTTTACACGTTATTTTATATTCATACCTTTTACTTAACTTTTGTTTCTCTTCAAGATTAGATTCAGTATTGTCCACCTAAGGTCCCATAAGTCAGCATGACCTATATTGTAAAAGTATGCCATAGAAATAGACTTGCTCTTGCTTACTATTATTTTCCTTATATATATATATATATATATATTTAAAAGATATAAGCTATAATTTCCTTATAATCTATTGTATATATATGTGTGTGTGTGTGTGTATATATATATATATATATATATATATATATATACATATATACACAATAGATTATAAGAAAATTATAGCTATTTAAAAAATTATAAGAATTTAAATTATAAAAATAAAAAAAATTACATATATACATATAATTTTCAAAATTTAAATGAGGATTTATAATTAACACAATAAATATGGAAAAATGCCTATTAATATGAAATCCTCTGCATATAAATATGTATATAATATTTTTATATAGTATCTATGATTCTCTAATCTATGATCATATGCATTATTCAAAATACCTTTGTTATATTTTTGAAATTTACATATAATTTTTAAAATATATAAGCTATAATTTCCTTATAATCTATTGTGTATATATGTATATATATTTAAAAGATTGTAAGAAAATTATAGCTACTTAAAAAATTATAAGAATTTAAATTATAAAAATAAAAAAATTACATATATACATGTAATTTTAAAATTTAAATGAGGATTTATAATTAACACGATAAATGTGGAAAAATGCCTATTAATATGAAATCCTCTGCATATAAATATGTATATAGTATTTTTATATAGTATAAATTGAAATATACTTTGGAAATATGTATCATAAATCTATGATCATATGCATTATTCAAAATACCTTTGTTATATTTTTGAAATTTATATAAAATTTTTAAAATTTTTCAATTATTTCCCAGTTAACTCTTGTATAATGATATCATGAATTATCTATGATTCTCTAATCTATGATCATATGCATTATTCAAAGTACCTTTGTTATATTTTTTAAATTTACATATAATTTTTAAAATATATAAGCTACACTTTCCTTATAATCTATTGTGTATATATATGTGTATATATATATATATATATATATATATATATATATATTTAAAAGATTGTAAGAAAATTATAGCTATTTAAAAAATTATAAGAATTTAAATTATAAAAATAAAAAAATTACATATATACATATAATTTTCAAAATTTAAATGAGGATTTAAAATTAACAGAAAAAATGTGGAAAAATCCCTATTAATATAAGATCCCCTGCATATAAATATGTATATATTATAGTATTTTTATATAGTATAAATTCAAATATACTTTGGAAATATGTATCATAAATCTATGATTCTCTAATCTATGATCATATGCATTATTCAAAATACCTTTGTTATATTTTTGAAATTTATATAAAATTTTTAAAATTTTTCAATTATTTCCCAGTTAACTCTTGTATAATGATATCACTTTAAAATGAATTTAAAATCATATCGTTGACGTATGTATATTTTTATAAAGATATTTTAATAATTTAAAAAAATATAATGCTCTTGCAATTATAATGCTCGTTTTTTTCTTATTCTGTAAAAAAAATCAATGTTATAAGAAACAAGAAATCTTTCTTGAAAATCCTTATTTTTTCAGATATCCCACATTTTTACATGTGCTTTATCCTCGTCATCGCATAATATAATTAAGTATAATCATTAATTACCGGATACATACATATATATGTGAATATTTTTAGAAATGTATAAGTTTACATAACTAGTTGCAATAAAGTAGAAAGTTGCGTTGTTTGAGAAAATTTGAGAAAGTTTGAAAAAAAAAACACTGCCAGACTGATAGATAAAAATATATAAATAGCAAAGGAAGCGATTATAATTTTATAGGGCATCAGTAGTGTCATTTTCGAAAGACTATTCATAAAAGTAATTTATAGTGAATAGCGAGAGAAGCAACGCTTTTGCTGGTCAAGAGAATAAACGATTACATTTACGAAAAATCAATTGTGAAAAAACACAAACTTTTGTTATGTAATCGGAGATTATTTATAATTGTTCGATTAAATCTTGTGTATATTTTTCTTAACGAGATAATGTGAAATTTTTATAGAACAAATATTAATGACTCAGGAACTTGTTGGATTAAATAGTTGGATTATGCGATTGCAATATATATATTACGCTAATAGTATATTTCCTATGTCTATATAACATGAATATTTTTAAGAATTGTATATAATATAGTATATATAATATGCGCGCAGAAAGCGGTATTATATTGGAATCGTGAAAAAATGTATCATTGTTGTTAATTGTTATAATTATTGTCACGATTATTATCGCTATTTTAACATATGCAAATATTAATTGATTTGCGAAAAGATTGCAGAGGATTTATGATTAACAGTGTAAATGATAGTTTTCTTTGATATTGTGGCATCCTCTGTGTGTAATGTAAATCATGTAATTTTTTCTTCCCGTGTAAACTCAAGTATGCCTTGAAAATGCTACGATCACCTCTTTGCTATCTTTAACATTTATATAATACATATATATGTATTACATGTATGAATATGTGTATATTCATGTATGTAACTTGTTGAGCTTTGTGAATTTATGAGGATCATTATTCGTATTTTAATTTGATCTATTTAATCTAAATCTCTTTATCTAATCTAAGATTTATCACATATCCATGATTAGTTTTTATGATTAGTTTTTAAATATCTGCTGATGTTTTTTGCCTATCTCTAGTTTACTACACTTTAATGAATTTAATTGATTATTTTTATTTAGTACTGTAAATATTTATAGTATTAAAATGTTCTCTCGTAAAATTTTATTTTCCTGTACCGCTATTCTGATAATTAAAGCTCTTCTTTAATAAACTAAAATTCTTTTCTTGTGCTACTACAGGTTTATTACATGGATATGTGATTACATATAAAATAAGAAAAAAAGGAAACATTTCTACATATGTGTCACTAAAATAGAATGGGAATTGAAGGGAAATCTTATCGCTTATTTTTCAGATTTTATCATATTTTGACACTTTAATCGAATTTTTCTCATAATTCATAATTACTGTGCTAAAGTATCAAATTAAACTATGTAATAAACTATTTATTTCCAAAAGTCATCTCTTTCTTATTCTTCTTAAATTTATCTTATTGCTTTCTTCACTATACTTCTGTGTATATACTGATACATATATATGATTATATATTTTATATTTCTAATGATGAATGTTAGCTTTCGATAATTGTCGATAATCTTATTGAAGTTTACACGGAACGAAATTTATTTCTTAGGCATATGTACTTTTAATCACAATTTTTCATCGTGTACATGTAATCGAATATCTTAAAAGAGTTTCTTTTAGATAATCTATAAATATGTATATCTATATATACATATAAATATTTTATAAAAAGTAAAACGCTTTTCCAGAGTGTGATATTTTAGCATTGCACAGAGGAATTTTAAGAAAAAATCTTTCTACATAAAATGGTGTTCTCGAGCACCTTTTCTTCTGTGATTCAAAGTTGTAAATTAATTAATACTAAGCGACTTAATGTTTTTAATTTCTGTTAAATGTAAATTAATATATTGCCAGTACTATGAAATACGTATTATGCGAACGTGCACAGTGAGTAAAGCGCGAGTCGAAAAGTTAATGCGAAAGTGATATTGTTCAATCACGATAATAGTGGAAAGACAAAATAATTGCTAAGGTAAATCTCTAGTTTTTATATATTCTGTGATCGTAAGAATTTTAAGAGAAAAGGAATATATATTTGCAAGGCGTTCAATCATCATCTTTTTTCGTGAACGTAATAAATTTTTGAATTCAATTCAGAGCTAACTTTGTGGCGAAAATTTTATGATGACCTTAATTTTTGTATCAAATTAATGATATTACTGAGTATCCTCAGTTAAAATTGCGACTTATTTGTGATCTTGTTGTAATATATAAGAATATGAAACTGATTGTCTTAAGGTATCTAGCATTGCAAATTAATTAAATGATAGTAAGAATTTTTTTTCAAGAAAAGAGTAATTTGAAAAGAGTAATTTGAAATTTGATCATTGATTATTCTCTCGCTTCTGTGATTGGTGGTAAAAAAATATGATATATAATAATGAGAGAAACAACGAGCGTACGCGAGAGAAATATATAATACATATTAAAAATATATATAAGTTTCTTTCTGCGTTGTCTATAAAATATTTTCAATTTTAAAAATTTATAATTTTTTATTAATCGTTGAAATATTTGTTTTTGTTCTCAATCACTATGCCACTATTTTTTGATAACATGTGTATTCTGTCATAAAAATAAAGGAACCAACCAGGCTTGAATTAACTTGGACTTGTCAAATAAATCGCAACGTTTTTAAACTGCTGTTTAGCTAACGAATTCCGCATCGATTTAAACAAGTGATAATTACACTAAAATATTGTATACATGTACGAGCTCACGCGTATGAGCAGCGAATGATATGAGCGAATTGAAGGATATAAATATTAAGGTACAAGTAATTCTCGCCAGAAAAAGAAGAAAAAAAAAAATATATATATATGTGTGTGTAACGCGAACACATATTTACTGCGTAAATTCTGTATATGATGTATATTCATCACTTGTCACGTACGTTATCTGTTTCGTGAAAAAAAAACGCAGAAAGTATGAAAATGTTAATGTATAATTACAAAAATTTAGAAATTGTTTCAATTTTTCATTTATAATGATAAATATTCATCTTTGATTATTTATGTTTGTATATATTAGTTTGTACACAAAAGACAAATATATATTTTACATATATGAACGCGTAAGAAGTTATTTTTATCAGGAATCGCTCTACATGCAAGAAGAGAAGATACAACAGCAGAGATCGTGCGTTTCACGTGGTTGATAAAAAAAGAAAAAAAAGAAATATATAAAAGCAACGCAAATAAAAATTTTGTTCAAATGAAACGTACCTTAATGATTATTTTGTCTTTTTCTTAATACCACATCATATATATATATACACATACACACACATGTACATATATATATATATATGTGTATATATATATATATATATATATATATAATATATATATATATATATATATAATACCGCACACCGTATTGCCGCATTTCTTTTATATGTACTAACATATCACGCCTTAGTATATTATATACGAATATATGCCATATTGCGATGTTGTCATATTAGTGTTACGCACAAAACTCAAATTCGGCCAAATCGTCAAAATAAAATTAATTAGTTGCTCTCATGTCATTTGTTCTCGTTGCTTGGTGAAGGGTACATTAGGACTATTGTTGCTAGTATTGTTACCGCTATGTAATCATTGTTATCGCTGGATTATATTGCTGCTTATTGTTATAATAGTATTAGTATTTTATTTCTTCTGCGATATGTATGCATGTATATATGCACAGGTGTAAGCCTGTATGAATATATATATGCATGTGTGCACGCGCGCATGAATGATTGCATAAACGTGAGCATGCGCTCGTATGGCTATGCATTTTTATAATTCGAATATATTTTTATGCATACAATTCGCAAATGCAAAAGCTTCTCGTTCGTAATTTCATTAAATCACGCTTCGTTATCGATTCATATAATCACATTCGTGTAAAAGAAAAACAAAAGATTATCGTAAAAATATAAGTCTCATTCTCTTCTTGTTGACATTACTAATTTTAATTGACTCATTAATTATTAAGTGTCATTTCATGTGCGTTTTTCTTTCGAAAGATCTTACGCGATAAAATTAATCTCAAACAATTGGTTTTTTACAAATTATCCATTATTCTCAATCTTCTTCAAAGTGCATTTTTTACGAAAAACGAAAATTAACGATATACAAAAGATAAATAAAATTTGCATTTAGTCATGGACATGTAAAAATGTGAAAATTGAGTCATTTATTTTGGAAATTTTGTTAAATATACGATTATATATTTGTCGGATTAGTTTAGAGATGATCCACGTTTAATTAAAGCTTATATGATTAATTAACTTATATTCTATTGTTCTCAAAATAATAGACTCGATTATTGGAAATATATAAGACATACGTATATATGAGGCTTACGTAGTATATTACCTTTATGAAGTATTAGCGAATTTTCAATCATCCTCCATTATTTCATAGAGCAAACATCACATCTTTATTTGTCATTTTCAGGAAAGACACACGTCCAGCCATCACAAAAGCGCCAACAAGCTGTCGCAGTCTCAGCAGTTCCATGCGACGTAGTATGCTGTTGGACTAAATAATAAGGAAGTGTCCCAAGTGATCTGCCCACTCTGAAGAGAAAAGAGTGAGTGAATTCCAAATAGCGAAAGTTTATTGAACAGAATATTGGATTTTGAGAAGAAAGAAATACCTATCGATACATGTAAAAATATGGGACGAATATCGTCTGATTTATCACGATTTATGTCGATCGTTTGCCTAGATAAGGATTATCTCTCGTTCTTCCCCGTTTTCTTTTTTTCTTTCTCTCTTCTTCGAAAGAAAAACCTCTACGATTATCACACGATAACTTGAAATATTTCACATTACCTCAAGCTTTTAAAAAAATAGCAAAACGTGAAATAAAAAATTTGAATAAAAGAAGAAAAAAATATACAAATTATGTAATTCGCTTATGGTACAATAAGATGAATAATTTTTTAATTTACTTGTTTTTTTTTCACAGCGCACAGCGTATATGTTGTAATTTAATTTTTAAACGGGGATAATCCTTGTTGATTCACGAGGCTGCGAACGATGTTTCACCGTTTGTGTCCTAAATAAAAATTGACTGTTAGCGGATTATACGCGTGATGATACATTGGCGGACTTACTGCGATTGTAAATATTGATGTCGAATATTTCGCTATTCTTTGCGCAAGTCCTTATTTATCCGTTATTATTTGAATCGAATGTGTCAAGGTTATTTTTATTTTATATTAATTTTTCTATTTTTCTCTTTCCTTTATAAATTACAATTGACAGTTATTGCATTATCTACAGTAGTTATTTTTCCACAAATAAAAACTGCAAATTAACTCTACTTGCTAAATCAAAGAATATTGAAGACGTATCCTTTATTAATCAACTCGTGCAAAAATAGCGAAATGTTAAGAGTTAATAGAAAGCAATTAATATATTGCTTTGTAAGAAATATGCTAATGCGACTGTATATTGTTTCAGACAGAATAGACAGACAAAAATTAGAGAGGAGAAGAGATTTTGTAAGATGCCTGACGAGACTTTGTGAAGACAGAATCTTGATAACGAGAAAAAAAAAAGAAGAAAAACTTGAAGATTGCGTTGTTAGATTCTCTCTTCGCACTATTTCGTCTTATTGTTAGATATTTCATATTTACCATGTTCCTCGCCTCAAGGAACGAAATATTCATCGCCGAATATTAGCCGTTGATTGCCAAACTGATTCATTGGAGAGGAAAATTTGGCATAATTAATCTTGGAAGTTTAATTTATAGCTATGTCCAATGAAAAAATTTTTAAGTAGATTTATTATAGTAACAACTCCCCCGCAATGCGACTCGATTTGCTCGATTCGGGGGTAGATAGATGGAAAATTGCATATACTTGTATTATATCAGAACTGTATCGTTAGTCATGTATAAACGCGCAAACTATTGTAAGTTTCTTTTCTAAGTAAAGTAGTAATCTTATTATTTAATGATTAAGAGTCGGTTCTCCTGACTCCAAGTACGTTATGCATTTAATAATGCCTTATTTCCGGCTGTGTTTTAATTGATATTTTCTCTTTCATTTCCTTTCATACATGCATCGTTTGCATGGCAATGTCGTAAAGAGATATGTCGCTCATATTTTTTCACATAATAATTTAAATCTCTTAAATCCTCCAGTTTTGACAGTTTACTTCATCAAAGTCAATTTTACCAATGCTTTATCTTGTTAGCGATTGTTTCGCGAGATAAATCCACCGAATATCTCTACAACGAAACGATCGATCAAATAAGAGAAAACAAACATACATACACATATTCACAAACGCAGTGAAACATCTGCTAGATATTTATATTCGTCTTATCCTGTAAATAGTTCTCTACCTGCATAATGTAGTACGTAAATATGATACACTATTATATAAGTTATAAAATAAGTTAGTATATAAAGAATGAATATAGAGTGAATATTGATATTATCAACAGACTGTAAATAAAATTATTTTGTATGCCAAAAGAAACCAAATGAGAGTAAATTACTTCGATGCACAGTATCACACATAGTTGAATGCGTACAATGCGACGCATATATATGCACGTACATACACACACGCGTGCACACACAAATCGAATGCTCTTTAAAGATGTATAGTTACGCGCAATTATCTGCGAAATTAATGTATACGTTCGCGATGATTTGTATCGATGATACATGCTGATTATACTTTGTTAAGCGGTATACGATATAAAATATCAAATCGCATTCATTCAGTCGACGATCGTAAAAATTATATATATATATATATATATATATATATATATATATATATATAATTTTTTTAAAATGATCGACTTAAGTTAAGCCTGACTTAAACGTCAATTATATAAAATTAAGTGTAAAATTATATTCGGATTACGTGTGCATTATATTCAGCAACAAGATAAGAGAAAAAGATATGTTAAACTTGCGTTTTTTATAAATGTATATTTAAGTAGCATTTTTTTTATCGTCAAGAAGTTTATATGTCAAAAGTCAAAGAAAAGAATCCAAACGTTGGATTGATAATGAATTATTATTAGAATGTTTTCTTTTCACTCTTCATCGTAAAAACAAGATTCGCACGCGTAACTGCACGTCTTATTCCTCCTTTTTCAATTTTTTTCTAATATGCGATATTTGTGTTCCTCAATCGACATACACGAAACGTGTACGACGAATTGTATCTATCGACAATATCGTGTATGATCTGAAAACGACGCGATACAAGAATACATTGTATTATTGCAATTGTGTTCTTCGTCGTACAATGACAGATTTTCAAAGGATTCAACGATAATCGAATAATCGGCGCGATAAAATCGTAAAATGCTGCGTTTCGCATAATATGGCGGGAATATTTTTAATCCTTATCATGGTAGAAAATATAGCGAAACGACAAGTCTATTTTATCGCGACGATACCATATATTTTGGCAAAAATTATTGAGGGAAGAAGAGAAAAGAGAAAACGAATTAGACTATATTTTTTTTAGCAATCTTTCGTTAACAACACTTTTCGTTATTCTCTTGTTAGCTTAGATATCTATAGTTAATTTGCTAGTATATGTAATTAGTATGATTATGGGATTAATATATACGAGCTATTGAATGAAACATTACACGCGACTCATGATAAAGATAATACTTTTTATTTTCACATTTTTTTTCTTGCATTATTGTTTAAAACATGTAAGAAAAATTTGCTCACATAATTGTTTTCTTACAAAGCTTTGATATATATATATTTATTTATTGCATAATTATAAATAGTTGTACAATAGTTTATGATGTTTGATTTTCTCAAATCTTCAATTTTGGGATTGAAGAAAAATATTTTTCACGTTTAATTAATATTAATAGATATTTATATATACATTATTATGTATAATAAATTATTAATACATTAATATTAATTATTTTTTAGTAAGTAAATACTTAGAACGTTTCACCCAATGGCTCGTATTTAAAACCATAATGTAATGTTCGAACGATAATCACGAGAACATTATCAGATTATTAAATTACGGGTGCGCGATGTGTTAATGATATGAAGGGCTAATCGCGCCCTTAGGAGGAATGGGCGACTAGTGAAAGTTGATAGGAGGGAATCATGTCCACAATACTGTATATAATAACTCTAGTTATAAGGACTTAGAGAAAATAACAACCGCGATGTGCACAGCGAGAGGAAAAAATGTAACTCATTATTACCGCTCGTGAACCGTGTGTGATTTGCCGCGAGTGTCCTCGATCGCGACCAGACCAAACTTTTTTATTCGTTTTACTCGCGCGTCACCTTATTGTCATACGTAATGTACATATGTAGTAAATATACACAAGCGTGGAATTTTCTTTCAGGTTTATCCGAATTTAATCGTAGTAGAACTGCCACTTTGGTGTTTACCTTTATTTTTCATTTCCGAATCGCGATTCGCGACTCAAAGCTGCGGGCGTGATTCGAATTTGAATTTTGGCGCGATCGAGGAATTGGCTGAACCGAGCCGAGTTTGCCTAGTTTAAAGGCGGCGTTCAAAAAAAAGCTATCCTCAATAAAGAGAGAAACAAACAATCACGAAAACGTATCGCAAACGCTTTCTTTTCTTCCCTCCTTTACATGACCTCCTTGCGTATTCATCTTCAATTATGACAAATTGCAAATTTTATTTTTGCAATCGATCAATGCAATTTTAACCTTTCCATTGCATAAGATTTTTACTATTATTATTGCACTGTTATTTTTGGCATCTTCAAAATGTAAAAACGTGCGAGAAATCTGAAAAAATTCAGGCTTTTTTTGATCGTCTTTTAAATAAAAACTAATAAATTTGCAAAATTATATTTTTAATATATAATTTTAATATATAATTTCATGACAAATATATGGAGCTTTGATGCACTTTGATGGAGTCAAAAGTGATCTTTATATACGGAGCAAGAGTTGAATCTCGTGGATGCACATGCGCCAGCAATAAGTAGATTAGTGACGGATTTATAGGGTTCATGCATACGATTTTTTAGAGAGAATTCCTTTTTAAAACATTAAAAAATCGAATTATCATAAAATCATATCGTGTACGATTGATTTTGGCTTCTATAATTGAATTCTATAATTGAATTAATTCTATGATTGAAATTAATTTTATTTCCTAATTTGACATTTCGAAAATTTTATCTGTATATCTGTATCTATTTAAATAGAATCGATGAAATTAACGCAATTAAGACGTACACTTACACCTCTTTCTTCTCGATCCTGCAATTGTTAGCAATTCTTCGAGGGCTCCGTGTTTCTAGCGCACAGCTGTTTCTCTCAGCTGTTTCTCTCTGCGAAATGTGAGAGATGCTCGTTTCTCTTATCCCCTCTTGTTCCAAGGTCGTGGACATTTTTCTCGTAATGTACCGGACATTACATTCGCCAAGATTGCAATGTAGCCATCGAGCAAGGAAATTCAGACCAATCCCTTTTCAAGTGATACGAAAACACACGATGTCCCGAAAGTGAAAGTTTGTCGCATCAACCGGACATGAAAGACGTAGAGATTTTAACCTAGAACCACAAAAATACAAACTTCCAATCGTATGTAAATAAGAAACAGATGTTTCGTACACGTTGATAGGACAATTAATTTGTAATTTACGATGATTCCTTTCCTGTCGTATTTATCATCATAAATTCTGGAATTTATGTTATTTTATTCTTACCCATTTATGTTATTTTATGTTATTTAATTTTTTTTTAATTTGTTATTTTATTCTTACCCATTTGCTTAATGGAACGTGATAATTACTGGTATATTAATGTAAATAAAATTAAATTATCGAAGAAAATTAATTTAATTGGAAAAATATTAATTTTTAATCCGAACAAATATCAAAATATTTTTTAGATGATTATAGAGACTTGTAAATTATATTTTCACTTGTTGCACACAGAACTACATTTAACTACTCCACCACAATGTTCCACCTACTGTTATCTGAAAACCTTACGTCACTATCTAGAAGAGTATTGATTAGAAATGAATACAGGCAAATCCATCATACGTAAGTACTATGTTTTATACAAGGAAAAGTTATGCCATTGATATTTAAAATATTTTGAATTTACTGTACTAGCTGCAAAATCTTGGTGATTGGAGGTGGTACCGCTGGCTGTTCAATGGCTGCAAAACTGTCCAGAAAACTTGACAAACCAAACCAAATTATTGTGCTGGAACCCAGTGATGTAAATTAAAAACATTCAAAATTATATTGTATATTATAAATTATATGTATATTTATATGTATATATATATATATATATTTATATGTATATTTATATTGTATATGTATATTTATATATTGACATATAATTGTACGTATATATATTTTAATAGTAAATTATTTTTCTAGGTTCATTATTATCAACCCTTATTTACTTTGGTCGGTGGTGGTATTAGTTCTTTTAAGTCATCAAGAAGGTATATGAAAGATGTTTTGCCAAAGAAAGCGAAGTGGTTGAAAGCTTCTGTTGTCGAGTTTCAACCAGATGCTAATAAAATATTGACACATCATGGAGATACTATACAATATGATATTATGATTGTTGCTCTAGGCTTACAATTATATTGGGATAAAGTATGATATAGTAAAATAATAGTATTCAATATAGTATATTTGATTCAGGATTCAATATAATGACAGAAATATTTTTGACAGATTCCAGGTTTAACTAAGGGTCTATATGATCCTGATGCACAGGTCTGTTCTATTTATGGATCTGATACTGTACCCCAAGTTTACCAGAAAATGAAAAAAATTAAATCAGGAACTGCAATATTTACATTTCCGAATACGCCAGTCAAATGTCCAGGCGCGCCGCAAAAAATCGCTTACATTGCTGAGGATTATTTTCGCAAGGTATATCTCTGAAATTATTATACTTCGTTCATTTATAAGAAGAATTTTCATTTATTATACTTAAAGCACAATTTGCGCAACAATATTGACGTTGTATATAATACGGCATTACCAGTTATATTTGGAGTAAAAAAATATGCCAATTCCCTCTGGAATGTTTGTAAAGAGAGAGATATTACTGTCAATCTTCAAACAAATCTGGTTAAAATAGATCTAAACAAAAAACAAGCTACATTTGAGAAGTTAAACTCGTCAGGAGAAACATCAGTGCAAGATGTATGTTTTTCTCTTTTCTTTTTATAATATAAGTAAAATAAAAGTAAAATTTCTTTCAATATGATAAATTTAAATCCTTTTCATGATTGTACTAGTACTCTTTTCTCCATGTAACGCCTCCAATGGGACCTCCTACAGTTTTGAAAGAACATCCGATATTAACTAATGAAGTTGGATTTCTTTGTGTCGATCCTAAAACTCTACGACACACAAGATATTCAAATATATTTGGTATAGGCGATTGTACAAATACTCCGAATTCTAAAACGATGGCTGCAATAGGTAAAATAATATTCTATAAAATTAATATATATATAAATATTACATATATAATAGCTTATACAATATTTGTTAGCTGCACAAGGAAAAGTGTTGTATCAGAATATCAAGGATGACTTGGCTGGAAAACCAATGACAATGGTTTATGATGGTTATGCATCGTGTCCCTTAGTTACTGGTTATGGCAAGTGCATTCTAGCAGAGTTTGACTATAATTTGCAGCCTAAGGAGACTTTCCCAGTGAATCAAGGCAAAGAACTCTATTTTATGTTTATACTGAAGAAATATATCTTTCCTTTTATATACTGGCACTTGATGTTGAGGTGAGATTAATCTATATTAATAAATAATGAGATTGCAAACATATACGTATATGCAGAATTTTACATTAATTATTTACCCAATGAATATTTTGTAGGGGTTATTGGAATGGACCAGAGTTCTTCCGCAAGTTTACAAAGCTCTTAAAGACAGATTAATACTCGAAGTAAAAAGAAAATGTGGGAAAAATAAGCCTGGTGCCTTTTTTTATAATTGAATAAAGTAATATATACATACATACAATTAGTGTATATATAATTTTAAGTAGTATAATAAGTAATGTATATATAATTTTGTGATTTTAATATTTATTATTATATGTATATATGTAGATAATTCTCTTTTCGTTTATTCCTCGTATAAAATTGCATATATGATGATATTTAATAATGTGTATGAAAAACTAATATTTTGAATATATAAAAGAAATTTTTACGCATGCGCGTGCAATTTTTCGCACTAAAGAACGCTGTCCTAGGGAAGTTTACATTTAGACATCCAGCAGCACTGCTGGACACGTCAAAATTCGTAGAGTTTAGTTTGACGTAAACATGGATGGTCAATTATTGGTAGGTTTTTAAAATAAGATAAATGTCAATTAATTTTGCAGTTGCAAAACTTTGTAGCATACATTTGTGCAAAAAATATTGTGGCATACTATTATTTATGTTTCTAGCATGAATCACAAGAAAAATTTGCACTTTATATAACATAACCTAATTGTCACACATTTTATTAATAAAGATTGAGATAATGAAAATAACAAAAAAAAGGAACAAAATTTAATTAAATTCCAAGTGTGCTCGATAATCCTATAGTGTTGAAAACATACATTTCACACATTTAAAAAAATATATATACAAACAATGACATTTCTGGCAAATATAATATACCGATCTTTTTTTCAAATTTTTATTCTATTTTATTAATACAAAATAAGGTCATTAATAATTTCAGATAATGCATTAATATCGTCAACCTAAATTTCATTATGGTTTGTTATATACTGCATCAGATATATGTGTGTGTTATCTGTAAATATATATATATATATATATATATATATATATATAAAAATATATATTTTATGTTGTATTATTTATTACAAATAAAAAATCAGCTATTGAAAATTAATCTAGGAACCCACATTATATACCGTCAAAGGAATGGCCATCCTTGACAACGATGGCAACAGAATTTTGGCAAAGTATTATGACAAAAATGTATTTCCAACATCAAAAGAGCAAAAAACCTTTGAGAAGAATCTGTTTAGTAAGACACACAGGGCGAATGCCGAGATAATCATGTTGGACGGTTTAACATGTGTTTACAGAAGTAATGTAGATTTGTTTTTCTATGTTATGGGCAGTTCACATGAGAACGAGGTTTGTATAAGTCTATTAAATATCTTGACATAATTATAATTATCTAACATATTGGACTTGTTTCAGTTAATTCTTATGAGTGTTCTCAATTGCCTATATGACTCTGTCAGTCAGATTCTCCGGAAAAATGTCGAGAAGAGAGCAGTATTGGATAGTTTGGATATAGTAATGCTAGCGATGGATGAGATTTGTGATGGCGGGTAAATAGTAATTATTTATATTTAATAAATTTTGTATGAAGCGATATAAAAAATTCAAAATTATCTTTTCAGTATAATTTTGGATGCAGATGCATCAAGTGTAGTGCAAAGGGTAGCATTACGAACAGATGACATTCCACTTGGGGAACAGACAGTAGCTCAGGTAACATTTTAATTTGTATCATTTTTAATTTAAACTGAAAGCTCTAATTTTGATTTATTTATGACACAAGTCTTCTTTCTTTGTTTCAGGTTCTGCAATCGGCGAAGGAACAGCTTAAGTGGTCATTATTAAAATAAGTATTTTCTTTTTGTATAAAAATCTCACATAGATCCAGCAACATATGTGCACACATATGAAAATTATTATTAATATTATTTTATTATCGTACAAAATAAAGCAATTTAATGAAAATGTAAAAAATTAATTTCGCTTATTGTATAATTATCTCGATAAACTCGTTAATTATTTTTTCTCATGAATACTGTTCCTTATCCAAGTACTGCATAATCTAACTTTGGATATGAAGAGAAATAATGCTAATAGCGAAATCTATTTTATCTACAGTAAGATACTGGTACGTGCACAGAGTTTATTATCATAAATTGATAAATACCAGAATACTCTTAATACCATTTTCTTTTGTTAGATGACGCTTTATGTTTTTTTTATAGCAATCTACGCATTGAAAGAGATTAATTTTAATAAAGTATTGTATTCAGCGATATATACAATATATTCAAGCAGGACCTGTCCGAGTACGAATCACTCTTATACGAAGCCATTTCGTCGCCTTTGTTCGGAAATATCTATGAAAATGCTTGTGAAATGTGCCACCTCTGTATACGTGAGTTGCAAACATTGTCTTTCAATTATATACATAAATGTATATCATCGATATAATCTTTTAACCTCTCGATGCCATAGACGGGAAGATATATATATTAGGAATAAATAAATACGAGGCTTATTTTCGCGCGATTGCATCATCGACGATGCGACGATTTGCGAGTTTATTGAAATTATATCTGCTTCAATCCTTCTTAATGGAGCCTTGGCGATGCCGAGCCCCTCGTCCATGTCCTCGTCCGCGCCAACTTTTTATACGGCCTCTACCATCTCGGCGCCCACCGCCCCCCAGGGAAATTCAGTGTTCGAGAGAGTGGTCGACGAGGAGAAGAGAGAGGGAGCCGCCTAGAAAGAGGGTGGATAGAGGGTTAGTGGCGCGCGCGCGACTTCGCGGAAGAGCATCGGGCACAGGATACCGTCCTCCGTTTATTCGACGTCACGTGACGAGGAGACCCATGGACGACCCGTGGACGACCCGTGGACGACCCGTTTCGATCGCGTCCGCTGGTTACTCTTTCATCAGCCTCCTCCGCGCTGGGAATTTTAAATTTGATTACAAACTGCCCGAACGCGCGCCACACGTTCTCCTCCTCCTCCCCCCTCCCCCCTCCTTCGCCGGAGAGGTTCCGCGTTTCCTCGTCCTCACCCCCTACTCCTTCTTGCCCTCATTCTCGTCCTCCTGCCTCTCTACCGGCTCTCTTTCTCTCTCTCTTTTTCCTCCGGCGCTCTAGCGTTCGCTCTTTCTCGCGCGCGATCCGATGAAAAACTCTTCGTCGCTCGATCGCGACGGAATTATTGGCCGGCCGGCTTTATTTATAGCATTCATTTTCCTGGGAATCGCGGCGCAATCCGTCGCCCGCCGACGTCAGCCATTTTTCTCCCTCCCTTTCTCATCCTTTTCTCATTTCGCTAATTGCTTACTTATTCTGCTACTTGTGATTTTTACCGTTATTAATGCTATCTATTCCCGATTGCCTGATTAAAATCATATCGCCATCGATATTGATTTAAGACATTTATATATTTTTCTTGTACTATACTTGTCTGTGATAGATGATTACATCGTCAACGTCTATCTCTTTTTTTCCATATATATTTTATAATTTTTTGACACAATTTACTTTTCACAAAATAGACAATAATCTTTATAATAATCTTTCGCATTTTAGATTGTTACATTATTTCTTATATAACGATAGAGATGCTTTATTAGAAAATAAAAGGTTTTGGAGGAATAATTGATTGCGCGATATAGATTTATACTTAAGAAAGATCTCATTTTAAAATTATTTAAAAAATTAAGATTAAATTAAGAAGAAATGCATATATTTTCTTGCAATATAATAGTTACAAATATTTCGTATAATATGATTCTTTTAAACAGAATCACATTATATTTATATTTTTATTAGTAAAAAGAAATTTTTTTTTAATTTCCCGCAATAAAAATCATACAAAAGAAAAGAAAATAAAAAATAAAATTCTTTGGAGAAAAAGTAAAGAAAATTAATATTTTTTTTTATTTGTATTATATTTATCAATTTCATTTCCTTTAATGCCTACTATTTCTTTTTCATATGATTCTAATTTCCAATTTTATTTTTTCTTATACGATTTCTAATTTAAGATTTTTTTTGTAAACGTTTAGAACTTCGAGTCCCATTAATTTTGGGCGCTTCATTAATTTCTTTATTTTGCTATCGCCTTTTCCACGCTTTTGCGCAGACTGTCGATACACGATTTACGACCCGTCAGGTGAGGAACGAATAGTACGTTGATAACGACGACACTTTGACGAGAGACACCTCTTTTCCTCCTACTAGCAACGGGGATTAATTTCGGAGTTTTGTACGCGCGTGTTTTTTCATCCTCTCGTCGTGTATTATCTTTAAAATAATAATTTAATAGCGTCGTCTAATATTATTAACGCGTTTTTAATATTTTTCAATAAACCAGATAAATTAAAATAAAACGAAGGACGTTTAAATAAATCACTAACAATTCTCTCTTCTTCATTTTAAGTATATTTAAGAGAGAGAGAGTAGTAAATTCAAAATAATTACCTATATTTCAGCAAATTAAATTTAAATATCTGAATGCAATTGCATTTGCGACTCAAGCTTCGATTAAAAAGTTGAATAAAAAACATTTTCCCAACACAAACACACAAATCCCTCTTACAATTAATTAAGACAGACCCACGCTCTGATGTTTAATCGATGTTAAATTTACTTGTATGATTATACATGGTTAAAGCGTTAGAGTAACGTTTCGAGTCATAAATTACCGGGTGGTCCATTCGGTGACCGACCGAATTACCGTGTCTAAATGCGTTGGCGTACATATCTACCGGGGATGGAAAGAGACGGTCTCGTATAAATCAATAACCCCGAGACGAGGTGAGATCCGCGACATGCACATGCTCGAGACGTTAAACGCGCCCGTTGAACGGACTCAAATCCGCTCCTAACATCTCGCGATCGTCCTGATGGTGGTCCAGGTGGCTCGCAGAGGCAATTAAACGTATAAACGGCGGGAATTAGCCGCAAGAATTGGTTCAGCGAGAAGCGCTTTCAATGGATCGGCATTGCTTCCCCGGGCATCAGGACCATTTAACACGATGACATCCCATTTACCACCCCCGCACAAAGACTTTCGCAGACACTGCAAAGCCCCAAAAACCCATATGTCAGCACGTGCCGCCAAACGAAGGCTGCTACGATGCGGCGAGTCGTTCCCTTTCAATGCGGCGAAGTCGATAGTCGGAGTCCCAGATCGGTTCGTCGGTTTCGCTAACAGCCAGTGGAAAATTATTCGCGCAAATAAACAATTTGCAATTAGCATTTCTTTTTAACACTATGATGACGAGAATTTACAATGATCGATTTGATGTGAGAATTTATTTTATATAAATTCTTTTCTCATTTATTTTTCTCAAATATTTAAAAATATAAACTTTATTGTAAGGGAATTGTAGCTTTTAAAATCTTTGAATTTTTATGTCGGTTTTTTTCTAAAAATTATTGTTAAAATATTTAAAAATATTCCGCCAATTTTGCAACTCTGACAAATGGTCGAAAAATTTTCAAACCGTGAATATAAAATATAAAATGTACGCAAATATGAGTTTTTGCTGCATTACAATATATTTACTAATGATAGTGATTTATTAAATTTTATTCACGACTTGTATTTTAATTTCCATAATCGACATCGTTGATGATGTCAATAATGTCGATGAAAAATAAGTAATTATTTCTTTTCAGATTTGAATAAACTTCGACGATATAAAAGACGGCAGTTTAAAAAAAACGAAATAATATATCAATATTTTATGAGTATACCTTGACCTATAAAAGGCCTATAAATATACTAAATTATAGCAATTTTGAAGTGTTAGTACTTTATGGCTTTCGAGGAAGTCCCCTGAAATTTGAAAAAAAGAATCGTTTACCTTTCCTTTCTCCTGCTTTTGTCTCCATTGGGCTTTTCTAGATGTGCCGATGAGCTTCGGTTCAGCACGACAATAAATTCGTTTAATACTTCGCACCATGGGTGTCGTATTCTCTGAAAATTAACTTTCGAATCGGTCATACTATTTTATTCTCTTGCCGTTTCATTCTTCACGAGGAATCTCATGTAATTCTCGCTTTCTAATCTTTAAAGCTTTTTTATAAAGACCCTATAATTTATTTATAATTTAACAAAAAAAATTCTTTTCGTATCTATATGTTATATAATGCTAATCATTGGCAAGCAAAAAAATTATCTTTTTTTAAAGTGAGTTAGCATTTCCGAATCTGTATTTATTTATATTTATTATATACCCAATTACATAATTCTATAAGATGATTATTAGATTATCGATATATTAAATGTCAATATCAATTAATAATTCAAATAATTAAAATCCATGTGATGGTATAGAAGAGCCCATTACAAACAAAGTACAATAATACCATCTTTTTGCGAGAGTATCTTTATATCTAACAATGTGTCGCGACGTTGAAGGACGCGAGCATCTATCTAAATCCAGCATAAGCAAAGGCGCAAAAATATACTATACATAATACATGGATGAACGAAATAATACCGAGTCGAAACGAAAGGATCTGATTTGTCCGCTTATAGTCTCTGCTCGCTCTTAATCTCGCCACCCTCTCTTCTTTGTTTCAATAGTGTATACGCTACCGTGTGTCCAGGTATATCCTTAGATCTCTCTAGTCTCTCGCCCGCGATCCTCTCTTATCCTCTTTCATCCTTCGACGCGTTGCACCGCCCACGAGCCTCCGCGCTGCCAGGGCCAATCGTCTGCGAGCACCGAACAAGGAGTGGTGAATCAACCCCCTCTTTATCCGTTCGCGTTGCGTTGCCCGAGGGGGAAGAGAGCGCACGCTTACACGGATTTCCTCCCTTCACTCCGAAGAGTATCGACCGAATGTCTCTCCTCTCCCTCCGCGCTGATAAGCGAGAGAGACCAGAGCCATCATGGCCGCTGGATGTTTCGACGTATATACACGTTATATACAATATGTAGCGCACGCCTTAGTTTTCCAACTAGCTGTT